TTACGAAAGACATTAACCCTACAACAACAACAAAAACGCTTTGGGACAAAGTCCATACAATTACAGGGGTCCGGAAAAATACGCACATCCATGCAATAGAGACCACGTCAGACAACACCTGTGATTCAAGCGAAATTGCAAATGCTTTCAGTAAAGTCTGGTCCGATTACTCGAAAGATTCAAACTTTTTAGATTCCTTCAGGCAAAACAAACACCGACACATAGCCCAATCACTCCCAACATATATACCGAAAGCCAAAGCCAAACTTATCGAAACGCCCATTACAAAAACAGAACTCCAGTCCTGCCTCAACAGTCTAAAAGGCTCCAAGCCCGGCTTTGATAACATACCTTATAAAATTTTAAAAAACTTACCGCCAGCCGGCATCAACAAACTATTAGACCTCTACAACAGAATACTAGATACCAGTGTCATCCCCCAGCAGTGGAAAATAGCAACAATCATTCCTATCAGCAAGCCCAACAAATCAAAAAATTCAATAAATGGGTACCGCCCAATATCACTCCTTTCCTGTCTCTCAAAAACCCTTGAAAAAATAATATCAAAAAGAATCATGTGGTTTCTTAATCAAGAAAACAATCTCTCCCAAAACCAATACGCATATAAACCAAATAGATGGTAGACCATAGACCCTCTTTTAATAATAGATAATCATATTTGCAAGAGTCTATCCACAAAAAACTATGTCTCACTTCATTCCATCGACATGGAAAAAGCTTTTGACAGAGTAGGAATTCACTGCATCATACAACAGCTATATGAATGGAAGCTCGGACCAAAAATAATAAATTACATACGCAGCTACCTTAGCAACAGAAGATTCCGTGTAAAAGTTAATAATACCCTCTCAAGAGAAGAACAACTGCACAACGGTATCCCGCAGGGATCTCCATTGTCAGTGACTCTCTTCTTGATAGCTTTCAACAAACTAAGCCATATAATTAATCAAAATAATTTTTTTTCACATACGATGTACGCAGACGATCTCTGCCTAATATTTAACCCAAAAGCCGGCTATAACATACAAATTAATAATCTGTTTGTTAAAATAAACCAATGGTGCAATTTAAGTGGCACCAAAATTTCAAGTGAAAAGTCATCACACCTACATAGTATATGTAAAAAATATACATGTACAAACATAGATATTAGATTAAACAATACAATTGTACCTAAAACACAACACCTTAAAATATTAGGACTAATTTTTGACACTAAGCACTCTTGGAACGAACATGTTAAAACATTAATAAAGTCACTAAACAATAGATTAAATATACTAAAAAGAACAACGAATCCCATCAAGCCTCCAACTCATCATCAAAAACGCCTCGCAACTCAACATAATAATATCCCCTCAGCGAAGATATAAACAAAAGTTTCCTCCCTGGTTTTTTGACACCAACTCAATCATTTTCCAACTCGCACATTATAAAAAGGACATCACTCCTAAGGAGATATACACAACAAACTTCAATAGTATCCGATCAAACTTCCCAGCATGGAAATTTCTCTTCACCGATGGATCTAAAACGGACAACGCGACAGCTTTTAGCGTGGTCACTGAGGAGAATAATATTGCCAGATCCGCAATAACACCTTCCTATACATCCATGAAAACATATGGGTAGGTTATGCACACACAAAATAAATACAATTGGAAACATTATATTGAGCCGGGTTAAGACGGGCAATACCTGCTAGTATCTCTATATATATAAAACAGTAAAAGCAAAATTCGAGCTCCAAAGGGGGGAAATCGAACTTTTGTATGAAAAATCTACAATTTTTATCTGTTTAACTTTAAACTTAGTTTATATACTCTCAGAAAAATTCCAAGAAAAACTGTATACTTGGTTTTTTGAAATTTTTTTGGGGACTAAAATATGGCAGTTTTTCTGTAAAAAAAATGGGGCACAAAAGGAAATCGCATCAAAAGCCCACAGCCGAAACGGCAAGAGCTATGAAGCTGAAATTTGGGCTCAAGGATCCTATAATAGTGAAGGTGCCCACTAAGAAGTAAAGAGAAACATGCATGCATATATACACACATATGTATGTATGTATGCCTGTGTACGTACATATATAGCATGTATGTACATTCGTATGTATGTACATTCGTATGTATGTATGTATACATCGTACAATCGAGCACTGTTGTTTGATTGTAACAAATAATGTTCTATGGGTTTAAATCAAATTTTTAAAACTAAACACAACAACAACAAAGGCAAAATGTCAAAAGTTTACAGTTACCGTCGCTAGGCAACGACTGCGTAAGCGATAGTAAAGCAAAAACCGAAGGCGGACCTGCGCATATTCTTCTTCACGTTGGGGGCAGATGTACATATGTATGCTTGTATATGATTTGTTCTAATTGATCTCAATAAATTATAAGATGTTATTATTTAAATTTTCTGTTAATTGCATTCAAACTTCGATGGAATTATTGATTGTATCGACGGATTCAACTATCGATAGTTTTGATGCTCTAACACATAGAGCATCCGACACATGCACATCTCTAGCATCTCAGCTGATCGCATATTTACATCGACTTACCGTTTTAGTGTTAGCTAACAACGCTACAAATATACTCTGAACAAATCGAAGAGTCATTTATCGTTAAGCCTATTTTGTGAGTTTATTCATGCGATTTACAAAAGCACCTTTTACATTCACAACAATCATATTTGGAATTGAAGACACAAATTAGTGTTGAATTAAAAAATTGAATACATACTTATATATGTATGTATGTATATAGGCGGATAACGCCTGCATGAAAAATTTAAATGTATGTACATATCAGCGTTGCCGAACGCTCCAATTTTGGCGGGACGTCCCGATTTATAAATCAAAATTAAATGTCCCGCGTCGGACTTTTCGGGGATAACTCGGCCGTGTGTACAACGTGCTGAGGAAGCACACAGTTAAGTCAGGACTGGCAGTCCGCCCGGTGCGTAACGAAGATATGTACATACATACATAGGTATGTATGTATGTACGTATAACCATACATACTACTTATTGTACTTATTTGCTATTTGGAAAATGAACTCTTGAAAAAACTTTAAAGAACGTCGAAAGAAGGATATCATATAGTAAATAAACTTATAATTATAAGCACATTTTACTTAGCCCAGCAAAAAACGGGCAAAACCTGCTAGTATATGAATATATGACAGCTGTTGTTGTTTTTACAGGCACTCACACACACACACACACACACACAACATACACAACATTTGTTCGTGTTTGCTCGTGCGTGTTTTGTCGTGCCTTTTTGGCTCAAGACGAATACGCACGGCCACGCACAAAATCGGAATTTGCAACACCAACGCGTGAGCCTAAGCGTGGCACGAAGTGTAAAATTATTATTATTTTTTTTTTGTGGGGTGGTACAGCGTATTTAAGAGTTGAGTTTCTTGTTTTTATCAGTATGACAAGATGATTTGATATGTCCGCCTGTCTGTCTATATGTACATAAGTATTTTAGAAAGTACAAGAGCTAGAAAAGCCAAATTTAATATATGTACAGATTTTCATAAATTCAAAATATTTGGCAGTTAATGATTATGTGTCCTCATGTTCAGTCATTACAATAGGTTAAATGTAAAGTTATAGTTATAAGCGTAGTCTCTGCCCATGTTTTGCCCGCAGCTGTTGCTCAACTCTGTACTACATTCACGCTCACACACAGGCACGCATAGATTATAGACATAAACATTTTGATGTGAATGTGCAGACATATACAGTTTTCGCAAGCTATCTAATCCCGACGATGCTATAAAAGATCAACAAATAATTAACATTTTGTTTGTATTTGTTAAATTTTCTTAATTTTTTACATTTTCTGTAATTATTGTGCGAATAGGAACATAGTACAAGTATTTCACAGTCGGGGCAACCGACTGTTGTTGTTTTATAGCCCTTATTTTCGTGTTGGCCGTTCTGAAATGCTTATGGTATGGAAAATATTCCCGGCGCAATATCGTGGCCATGCCGTGAAAGGCAACATGTGTTCAAGCTTATGACTGCGATGTTTTTGTTGGCGTTACTTTGCTAAATTGAAATTACAGCATCGATGTGTTGTTTTTTTGAAGAAGTGTTAGGCATGGTGTCAGGCCTTGACGTCCTTTTGGACGAGATAATAATAATGCATTACTATGGTGTGCCTTACCGATATTTTTGAAGTACTGCAGAAAATGTTTGCCATATCGTAAAGCTCAAAAGTTGCGAGATATATCTAGCGCTCTTGGTACATTTGAACAGGTGACGATTTGGTCCTATTCCTGACTTATTCAATTAAACTGAGGTACAAATGAATCTTAAATGTGTAATTCTTCCTTTTTTGTTGCTGCTGGACCGGTTGTGACTGTTGCTTTTGTTGCCTTCATTATATATTTTGTGATTGTTTGTCCACCTCCTTCCCGATTTAGTAATATTAGGGTAACAAAAGCTGTACAACATTGTTGGCCGTTGCCTATGCCCACGTCATAGGCACTCCCCGACCCAACATCCACTCATACTTATCATCAGACGAAGTCAATGACTGCGTCACATAGGCCACAAATGCGAGGGCGTTTTGCTTGTGGTTCATCCCTTGTCGTCAATGTTAAGAATGATTTCATAACTTTTTGTTAAAAACGACAGTATTGGTTGCTGTTTTTCTATTTTTAACCAGCTACCGCAAATAAGTTGCAGTAAATTTATAACGTATATGTGTATTGACAAATCTATATTTATATAGTGTAGATTGGCGATAAGAAGCGGTTTTGGAAAATTTGAGCTCCAAAAGGGGGAAAACGAGCTCAAAATTTTGTTTGTAAAATTTTCAGCTACAGGCGAAGGAAGAATGGGATGGGCTTATGGTCTCTACCCTTGTACATTCTACGGGCGATCCCCAGATTTGCTAAAGTTTGACATTTTATCCATATTTTACCCTTCCTATATATCTGCCTTTACATATTTGCAGCTGCTGCTAGAGGTTATCGAGTTTCCGCGAACGTAAACGAACGCAGAGGCCGCTTCAGGGGACATGTCCGATCAGCAGAAGTTGTCGCTGTGTCCACGCCTGGTGGACTACATGGCGATTGTGGGGGCACACACGACGCCGGCTATGCCAAAGGGTATGCAAGGTAGCAAAGCGCCACCAGTGCAGGTAAGCGTTCAGTCATTGTAGCTAACATCATTAAACGGATGCACAAAACCACGTTTGTTTTGTAATAAGGTGCCCGATCTTCTGCGTCGCTATCCACCATCGGACCACGCGGACTTTCCTTTACCCCTGGATATGGTATACTTTTGTCAGCCAGAGGGTTGTACCAGCGTGGGTCCACGCCGCACTGGCTCCGCTATTCGTGACATGACTTCCTTTGTGTTCGCGTTGACCGACAAGGATTCGGGGAAAACGCGTTATGGCATCTGCGTGAATTTCTACCGACCTATTGAGCGGCCGTCATCGGCTACGGCAGCGAGTGGAGACCGCGGCGATGGTGGGGGCAGTGGTGGGGGGCCAGGTGGAGGTCATACTGGCAGTGGACGCGGTCGTCGCTCGTCTGCATTCCGACGCGAATCATGGCGTAAGAGCATGGAGCGGAGCTCGGACTCGGCATTTAGCAGGCAAGTAGAGTAGCCATGGCAAGCACAGGTAGTTGATATTTTGCACAATAAGTTCACACAAATTTTTTTATGCGGACAAATTTGTAATAATCGTACCCTAAGAGTAAGCGACTATACTGGTGTTGTACGAATGTATGTAACACGCAGAAGTATGCGTGGCAGACCCCACGGCAAGACGAGTCAATATAGCCATGTCTGTCTGTATGAATGCAAGGATCTCAGAAAGTATGAGCTAGAAAAACTAAACTTGGTATCCAGATTCTCCAGTCCGAGAAAGGACAAGTTTGTTAATGAATAGACCACCTCCCCAAGAACGGCCTATCAATTATAAGAAGTCGCACGTTTGGTAAATTCATCAATCTTTTTATAATCTGTACATGAAATGTACAAGAGCATATTAGGTTTGCGGGAGCGGAAAAACGTATCAGCATGGTAAGACGAGTCGATCTAGCCCTGTCCGTCTGTCCGTATGAACACCTGGATCTGCACAAAGATGCTTTATGTGTGTACGCTGTGCAAATTTTCCATTCGTATAATCACCTATATCTCAGAGACTAATAGACCTAGGGAAACCAAATGTGTATTTTGGAATTTCCCTCCCTCTCCCCTGATTTGGTCTCTAAGATATAGGTGATTGCACAACGTACACACATAGAGCATTTGTGTACAACATTTTGGTGTCTCTATCTCTTTTACTGTCTGAGATCTAGGTGAACATACGGACAGACGGACATATGGACGTGGCTTGCCACTTCGGCTAGCCACCGTGATCAAGAATATATATACTTTGTGGGGTCTGCCACGGCTTCTTCTGCGTCTTACATACATTCGCACAAAATTAGTATACCATTTACCCTTTGGGTACTGGATATAAAAATTAAACTGAACAAGACAAGAATAGATTTTGAAGTAGATAACTAACTAATTATGTATATAAGTAGTGCTGTTGATGAAGAAATTTGTGCGTTTACGCACGTAAATTTTGAATTGCTTAGGAAAATAGCAAGACATGTACACAATGTTCCTATCAGCACTGCAGCAAGTGAACGAGGTTTTTCCACTTCTTCAAATTTGTAGTGCTATGGATATATTTTTTATTTTTACATTTAATAGTAGGGCTTGGCATAGCTGAATGAGCGAGTTGCAATCCCACAATGTGAGTTTGTTCATCGGTTCGAATAACGACGCAACCATTATGACGGAAGCATGATTGAAATGTCAAAGATGTCATAAAATTTAATAATTGTCCAACCCAGGACAGATTTTAATTAAAGATTAAAGAAACAAAAAGTAAATAGTTATTACAGGTTTGTGTTAGGCCGTATTAAGAAAAATTTCGTGGCAGTATGTTAATACTTTGAAGCTTTTGAGCAATTCACATCGAAAATTGTTTATGACAATTTCATTTGATTTTAAGTAGCTCACTATTAGATTTGCTTGCGGCCGTGAGCAGATTGCTTTCCTTTCATTAATTAACTTTGTATATATTTGTATGTATTGCACGTATGTGTGCGTGCACCTAGTAATGAGTGCACAGTGTGTAGGTAGTTGGCTTTGAATTCTGTTTTAATCAATTCTAAACCACTTCCATAATAGTTACGGCCTCTTAACTACTTCTAGCGACTACAGAAGTAACGTTGCACCTAGTGATTCAGATCGCGAACTAACCTCACGCCGTGATTCCGATCAGCAGCGTCGTTTTGGACAGAATCCGGTCTATCCTTCATATTCTGGAAACTCACCACATCCGCCACAGCCGGTTCCAAAGCTTGGGCTGATGGCGCCTTCGGTCGACTCCGAATCGGGAGGGAGTCACTCGCCATCGCCACGTGCCTCACGTAAACGCACCAAGCTGCGAAACCAATCACTAACATCTTTGTGCATAATCTCTCACCATCCGTTTTTTACAACTTTCCGCGAGTGTCTCTTCATACTAAAAAAACTAATCGATGCATGCAATGAATCGTCATCGCCAAAACGCGTGGGTGCTTCGCAGAAGCTAAACAGAGATAATGTGTGGACCGTGTTGGCCGGACATGCTAGCGAAACAACACCATCGATTGTGCTGCACGATGTGCGTGAGATTGAAACCTGGATACTGCGACTGTTATCCACACCAGTTCCAGTGCCAGGGTCCACTCGCGTCGAGGTGAGTTTCCATATGCCTTATAATGATATATAGAGTACGTAGTATGGTTCAGTTTCACGAAAACATCATTTTGGTCATATTGATAGCAAAATTAATGAATGAACTCCAAATATAATATTCAATCCCAAAAAGTGTTTGAAAAGAAATGTACATGATACTATGTATGTTCTTTAAATATGTCAATTTTAAGCTTGAAAGGTATAAGAGTATATGTAAGTGCGAGTATAAGTATATACAGCAAATCAAGACTCTTCCATTTAGCCCTGTCTATCTGTCCGCGTGAACAATGTTTTTTATTGTGCCTCAACATAATCTGAAACTCTTTTCAAATCGGTAAATTATGTTTGTCATAAGGACAATTCGTTTTAGTTGATGGAATGTGGTGGAAAAATGGAAGGGTACAGGGTGTACAAGAGTCGCACTAGCGCCACATATCGTATCGAAATTTGATATTTATGAGTATGAGTTTTGCGCTGTGCATTTATTATTTTCTGATTCGATTAAAATGAGTGCGTTACATCATGTGATTGAAATAGGAATGACACGTGCAGAACTTTAAGATTTGATTAGTTTCTTTTTTAACCAACAATCTTTGTAGTACATAACTAATTATCCCTCTTGTGTTATTGGCGATTCTTCAGGTCGAAGTACTATCGCCGACAGTTCATGAGCCACTGTTGTTTGCCTTGCCTGACCACACGCGATTCTCACTTGTGGACTTTCCTTTGCATCTGCCGCTGGAGCTACTGGGCGTTGAGACTTGCCTCAAGGTTTGGACGCTGATCATGCTGGAGAACAAGGTGTTGTTTCAATCGCGCGACTACAATGCGCTCTCCATGTCGGTCATGGCATTTGTGACTATGTTGTATCCGCTAGAATACATGTTTCCGGTTATACCTCTGCTGCCAACATGCCTCAGCTGTGCAGAGCAACTGCTTTTAGCCCCAACGCCATTTGTTATTGGAGTGCCGGCTTCGTTTCTCATGTACAAGAAAAACTTTCGGTGTGTAAGCTATTAAGGTATCTCACCCGTCATTAATTTGAAAAGCATTTGTTTATTCTTTTCAGACTTCCCGATGACATTTGGGTGGTAGACTTGGACTCGACGAAGCTATCGCCACCGACCGGTGGCTATGAGGAAATACCACCACTACCTGAGCCAGAGGGCACAATATTGAAGAATCACCTTAAGCAGGTAAAGAACCAAAGTAATTGAATTTGTTGCCTAAATGAAGTTAAAAAGTGAGCGACAAGCCTATGCGGATGGAAGATTTGGTATGGTATGGGTGGTGTTGGTGATAGTTATGGTGATGTATTTAATGATACGACTATCAAGCACATTTTAATTTTACTTAGACACATGGAAGAAACCATTGACTTCATGCTTAAACAAAAGAGTACTCCGTTCATAAAGTTCGCTTAAGATCATCCTCGCAGGCGCGAAGCAGCTCCAGTCCCTTCTCAAAAAGCTTGGCATTGAGCAGCTTCAAAGCTTCCTGGGCGTGCAGAAACCGGTCTAACTTATCGTACTCGTTACGCACCTTGAATACAATGCTGGGAAGCATGGCTTGCACTTTCTTGACCACCTGCTCCTGCACATGCAGACGATATTCGTTGGCACCCTCGCACTTAAAGCGTTCTAAACGTAACAGTTCCATGTCACGCTCTTCCTCATAGTGTATTTTCTGTTTAAGCAGATGCTCTAGCACGGCAGTATAGACCACAAGCTGGTCCAGTCTCGGATCCATATAGCTTGCGGAATCATATACTGCCATATCCGACACTTTCCCGATATGTTGGGTACCTATTGTATACATTGAATAAAAAAAATAGAAAGTGTAACGAATGATGCAAATGCTAAATTTTTACTGAACAGTCTATGAAATTCAACAGATGACATCTAGAACGTTGCTTCAAAACATTTCCTTTCGCTTCGTTTTAGAGCAGTACAACATACCTCACGGATCCTTGAATATCTTTCAATATTTAATACCGAAACCATACCATACCATTTGATTCCTCAATTTTTGGTAGCTCCAAGGGCTAATTTAAATATATACCGTTTAAGCGGATAATATTTAACATGCATATATTTATTTATGCCAAACCATTTAATATTAAAAACGCTTATTGTTGTCTACGTCGTGTTCACGGTCTACACAAATGAGATTTTTATACTCGTACTCGTACATCTTTTCTATGTACATATGTATGTTGTGTAATGCTGTTATGTGCCTTTTTTAAAAACTTAAATCTAAACCCCTTTTGGTAATAAATTAATATCGGCTCTTGGTTTATTAAACCGTAATCTTCAAGTTATTCTGCATTGCTGTTCGAGTTAAATTCAATAGGTTCTTTTTGAAAACGAATAAATTAATTGTAAATAGAGATCATAGAAAGATTAATGTGGAGAATATACTCGAAAAGATAATAGCAATGATTACTATTACGCTGGGAATTAGGAAACCACAATGCAATACAAATACGTATCGTATTTTTATTTTCCATAGCCAATATCAAAAGGTTTCTTTCATTATATATCGGAATCAGCTATGTACAAGAATATCGACATAGACATTTAATACCTAAAAACAAGAAGAGAAGCTAAAGTCGGGTGTCCTGACTTTGAAATACCCTGTGCATATGTGTAGAATAATTATAAAGATTAAAACAAGAAAGGAATGCTAAAGTCGAGCAGGCTCAACTCTCAACTCCTGTACCCTTTGAGTACAGGGTATATAAATTAAGAAAATTAAAAAAAAAAACATTTTCATAGGAATTGTGTCTGTGTGAGTGTATGCCTATGCGTGCCTATTCGTGTGTGTGAGCATGTTTGCAGTACAGAGTTGAACCAAAGCAGCAACAACAACAACATAGATTGGGCAAAGATTACATTTATGGCTATAACTTCCATTCAAATCAGCCTTTCATGATGAAACCTGGCATACGGACACATAATAACTAACTGACGGTATTGCCAAATTTGTTCGAATTTCTAAGAAATATAGGAATATGGAATATGGAACATCATGAATTGCGGTGGTGAGAGGAGAGGGAGGGAATTTTCAAAATACACCATTTCAGCGTATTCACATAATGTATCTTGGACTAAAATTTTGTAAGTAGCAGTCTTGTTTACCTTTTGGCTTAAATTGAGTCTTGCTATTGCTGACGGCTTGTTTATATAAAATGATCACAAAGAAAAGTATATATACATATGTATGTATATAATTTTCAGTAATAAGACCAGCCACTAGTGAGCAGCAGTTTAGTCAAATCAAATCTTAAACACATGTCAGCAAAAAATCGCAGCTTAAACAGCAATCCCTTACCAGAATACCCTTTTTGAGAAATTCAGTTGAAACAACAACAAAACTATTGAAAATATCGTCTACAGAAACATGTACACCTGATTGTGTGATCCGCGGGTAACAACTTTTTACGATTGCGACTTACGATATGAGTACATGCAACAGTCTGTTTCATAGATAAACATAAATATAATTACATAGACATATCTATGTAGGTTTATATATGGTGTTATTTATACCCTATATTTTCAATCAATTTAAAATTTAATATTGTCAAAAAATTAAATTCAATTAAATATTTACGAGTCGGACACGGACGACTCTAGAATTCTACTCGTACTTATAGTGAGTTTTAGCCTACTGTAGCTGTAGTTAGGATCTGAGTACTAGGTGTTGTGATAATGTTGATGATCAGAAGATATTTGTTTGTTAATACTTACATATATTTTTATACCCTGTACCCGTAGGGTAAAAAGGGTATATTAGGTTTGTGCAAAGTATGTAACATGCAGAAGGAAACATCTCCAACCCATAAAAGAATATATCAGCATGATGAGAGAAACCGATCTAACATGTCCTAACGTCTGAATAAACGCCTGGATTTCACAAACAGCAGAGTGCACATTGACCAAACTTGGTAGATTCTACAATTTCATTAAAATCGGTTGATTAGAAAAAATTATCTAGCAAACCATTTCTTTACGGTACTACGTCCCCAACTGCAGGAGGGTGTTCGCTCTTCTTCTTATTTTTGCCTCTGCTATGGGCGCATATAACTTACCGTTGGAAGCTTGTTTGGGTACAGGGTATTTCATTTTCGGGCTTGCTAGACTTTAGCATTCTGTTTGATACTCGATTTTTGGACAGGGCACTTAATTCTACGGGTTGACGTTGATGGTGATTTTGTTGTAAATTCCTGAACCGTGTCAATCTTTTCCATATCTGTACACTGAAACTTAGAGATGCAGTTACATTCAACATACAAGTACATGTACATTAATATAGTACTGTCATATTATATGTGAATGCACATATCATTAATCTAAATATACTTAATATACTCTAAATATACTATACTATATACATATGTGACTACATATCTTTACATGTTTTTTCTACTTCTACTATTCTATTTTTTATTCGACACTTGCTACCACTCAACAAATCGCTCTGTGCCACAACAATTTTCACTTAAACAAATACTTATCTGCTACTTTACTACTATTTCTATTCTACAACTCTACAATTCATGCATTCTGTTATATGAATTTGATATATAATTTATATATGACTACTTGATTAAAACCATCACAACTTTAACGACATCAATTAATAACACACACAAAATGCAGGCTATGATACTAATGGATGAAGCTGGACTTGGTGTAAATATCGCTTACATATGTTCAATATTTTTTTCGTTTTCGTTTCCGTATTTTTGGTTGAAACTTTGTATTTATATCTTCTTGTATACATTACATCACTAATTACAAACGTATATGTACATATATTCATACAATATATGCATATAGGATTGAGAGCATGCGCATATACATTACAACACTATTGTACGGCTATCGGCTGTACAATACTCGTAAATACTATTATGTTTAATGTAGTTATACTTACATAATTATAAGTACCTTTGTTTGAGTGTCAGCAGCGAGTTTATTGTTAGTATTAGCTTCTGTTGGCAAAAAACGGTTTTTAAAACCGCTTGACAACTAAGAGGAACTATTCAACTACGAGTACTTAATTCAACCCTAGTAGAAGTTTTTTCCATGAACATAATTTTAAACTCCTTTTAACGCTGCACTAGCTTGCTGACTTCCCCTGAGATCCGCTTTTCCCTCTTAATGTACGTATACTTTCCCGGTGTGTCTGACCTCTGGACAAATAGTTGCTCTGTTTTCGTCTGCATGCATAACCAGTCATTTCTTCGAAAAGTAGTAGCATACTATCCAATCCCTTCTACTCGTAAAGCGAACATGCGTTCATGCGTTAGACCATATCATAATTACTCATGTTTCCGTCGAGCTTTAGTGTTTTACCCGAAACTCACGTTTCTAAGCCATATATCTCGATCCATCCACAGGCGCTTACCTCGATGACAGCATCGAACCAAGCTGTGTCCTCACAGCAACTACTTCCCTCGGTTCGGGACAGCCTTCAGGAGCCGCCGCTTTTGGGGTAAGTAAAGGAATCCTTAAAAGAAAAAATAAATGCGTGTAAGGGCGACTCTGGGTTAAAGTGAAATTTAATGGTTTATTTGAATGATTTAATTTGAGTTAATTTTTTTTAGATTGGTAAAGATTCTTTATAATTATTCATCAATGACATTTTGACTAATGTAAATTTTGCTTGAAAAGAATGGCTAGAAAACTGTTATCGCTTTCGGTTGTCGAGCAAGAAAACAGATAGAAAATGGCTTTAAAAACCGGTATAAAAACTAGAAATCCAGCTAGAAAATGGCTAGAGAAATAATTAAACGTAGCTAGAGAAAAGAAAACCCGCAGTCACCGATGGTTGGCGATTAAGCCTTGAAGAACCTTAGACAACACAGTTCTATTTCGCATTACGTGGGAAAACCCGAAAACTACAAGAAACAGCGACCCTTAAAAATCATAGACTACAAGTATGTACCAGGTAGTCGTACATAAGCAGACGCAGATTAATGCAGAAACAAAATACACTTGGTGCGTGTGTCGGTTTTCAGAAGATGATTTTTGTTTACATTCATAATTTTAATTTTACCAGCTGGTCTACTTCCTCCTCATTTATTTGCACCTGTTACCGCGCTATTGGTGTAGTTCAATTTCGCATCAAAAAACACCGAAAACTACAAGAAACAGGAACGGAAAATCAAGCAACGAGCGACGGACTACGTGTTTTTCTTTTTGCATCAATCTGCTTGTGCGTCTGGCTGGCGCCGTTACAGAAAACCTTGTCGATGCAGCAGATAAAACCCTGACATAAGAAATTTCACTTCAAAAAGGTCGGGCATAAATAAGAAAACTCCTATTGAAACTAAAGAAAGGATCACTAAGAAAAGAAGCTCAAACCACTTTTAATAGTTTTTATGCTCTTTTCGGGGTTTTCAGTGTACGAATGCCGATGAAGACTCCGCCTCATTCGGCACAGGCTAGCCAACGGAATTCGGTATCTGCCCAAGGAGGAGGAGCTTCGCGACAGCCCAGTCCCATGAACTCTCCAGCACTTAACCCATTTGTATACGGTACGGATGTTGATTCCGTGGATGTCGCAACGCGCGTGGCAATGGTCCGTTTTTTTAATGCACAGAACACACTGGCCAACTTTGCAGAACATACGCGTACACTGCGTCTATATCCGAGGCCCGTGGTCGCCTTTCAGATAAATAGTTTTCTACGCTCGCGTCCGCGAGCTTCACATTTTCTCAATCAATTCGCACGCACGCAAGCGGTGGAGTTCCTTGCTGAGTGGTCGTTGACGCCCACAAATGTGGCATTTCTACGCGTGCAGACCGGGGTTATGGATCCCACACAGGTGGGAGACAAGCCCAAGTGGTTCGCGCACTCGTTAACACCCATACGTTTTTCTGTATGGGACGATGGTAGTTCGCTGAACGGCGCTCTGCGCTCGTTGAAGCAGCTCGAGTGCCAACCTACCGATGAAAGTGGCTCTGACTCAGAGGGCGGGGACAGTTCCAGCTCCTCTTACTCCTCGTTAAGTGACTTTGTGTCGGAGATGGCCTCTTCGGATCTGTCGCCTAGCCTGCACGATGTTTTCGGCTCATACAATCGGCCTCATGTAGTCCCACAAACACTTTCGTCCAATTTGGATCCGGCGCTGGTGTACCATCCACCAAGCAAGCTGCAATATCCCGAAGGCCTCGCCGATCAAGTAGCCTCCAAGGAAGAAGGGGAACGAGCTGAGTCCCCCGCATCGTCTTCATCCAGTCGCTCAGATCTTAGTTCGCCCAGCATCAATCGCGACTCGGAGCTCGACTTTCCGCTTAATTCAATGGTGCAACCAACTCAGCCTAGCCCTTTTCAGTTGACTACGCCGCTAGCTATGCGCTTAGAAGCCACCTTAATGGTAGTTAGCGTAGAGCCAGATGCGGAATCAGTGTCATCTGCAGCGAGCAAGATTATTCCGGCCAGTAAAGTAGAACGTAATTCTAGTGAACTGGATCGGGCGGAAAAGAAAATACCGGTGAGTGATGCATAGTATATAAAAGTAGTGGGCCTGTCTAATACCATTTATATTGTAGCCGCCACTGACTCCGCCAGTCAAGCAACCCGGTGTAACTGATATCTTAGCGCGTACTGGCAGCTCAGGCTCCAGCTCGAGCAGTCCGGGGCGGCAAAGCTCCCAAAGTTTGCTTTTCGAGAATTTTGCTTCGCATGCCAAGGACTTAGTGCGTGAGACTACGCGTCAGAGCAGTCAGGAAGGCCTACTGGCTCACGTTGACAAGGTAAGCTAATTACCACGCCTCATCGATTCTAACTTAATGTGCTGTTGTGATACTTGTTGGTTTTGTGGTATATCTTCTATTATGTTTGCCTAAAAATTATCAAAAAAAAAAAAAAAAAAAAAAAAAAAAAAAAATAAACTGAACAAAAATGTCAAAACAAAATCCGGGATGATCACATGCTTTTCTGTCCATATGTGTATAGCATGCACCGGATGAAGATCTTGATGAAAAAATGCGTCACACTTTTGAAAAGGTTTGTAGCTACACTCTGTCATCATGCACGCATATGAAGACATTAACACACATAAGTATAAATGTCAGTGCTGCCAATACTGCTCGTTATATTAATTAGTCATTCTAAAAGGGACTTTCCCTCCCGCCTGTCATGAATTTTAGCACTGAGAGCTTCAAGTTCCTCCTCCAAAAAAGGAACATAAACAAGGTGGAATGATTTTCTTGCTTTTTTCAAATCACTGACTTTGAAATACCCTGTGTAGAATAATTACATACATTTAAAACAAGTAAAAAAGCTAAAGTCGGGTGTCCCGACTTTGAAATACTCTGTACATATGTTTACAATAATTATAGAAAATAAAAAAAATTAAGAAAAAAAAAAAAATTTGATCGATTTTACCTCTCTTGGTATTCGATCTCACGTAAAGGGTTTATAATTGCACATTTACATAGCAATTGCGTCTGTGTGAGTGTATGTATGCCTATGCGCATCTATTCGTGTCTGTGTAAGCATTTTCGCAGTCAACCAAACAGCAAAATCAACAACAGCCGCGGGCAGCGCTTGAGCAGCAATTATATTTATTGCTATAACTTCTCGTTAAACCCGTCTATCATAGTAAAACTTGGCATACGGACACATAATAACCAACTGGGGGTATTTGCAAAATTTTAGTTCGAAATTCCAAGAATTACGGGAGTTAGAGAAGATCGCATTTTCGGGGAGAGGGGGGAGGGAGGGAAATTCCAAAATATACATTTTCTGCGTATTCACAGGTCTTATATTCCTAGGTCTTATAGTCTCCGAGATATAGGCGATTATACGAATGGAAAATCGGGAAAACCCCCATAGTGGGGGGAAAATCAAAAAAATAAAACAAATTTGGTGTCTCTATCTTTTATAGTCTCTGAGATCCAGGTGTTCATACGAACGGACAGACGGACAGACAGGGCTAGATCGACTCGTCTCGTCATGCTGATCAAGAATATATATACTTTGTGGGGTCTGCCACGCCTCCTTCTGCCTGTTACATTTTTCAGCTCCCGCAAACCTAATATACTTCTGTACATTTCATGTACAGAGTATAAAAATTAACAGAAATATACAAAATATGTCGTGCACGATTATACCTTCTTCGGAATTTGAACTCACGTAAATGGTGTCTGCACAATTACATTCAATTTCGTGTCCCGATTTTTCCACGGAACTATCGCAACATTTCAGGCCCAGGAAAAAAAATTGCTTCTTAATGCTCACTTACACCGTGAAAGGCAACTTGTGTCCAAATTTCAGCTTCCTAGCTCTTGTGCGCTTATCGCCAGTCAGTCAGTCAGGACAAACTGTTTTATATATATAGAGATGAATTTGGCTCCAAAAGTTGTTGATGTTTGCACGGACAGACAGGATGGATTGGCACCTTATAGCACCTTAGAGCAGCTCTGACATACGAGTACAATACAAAAATCGAATATTACAAACAAGAAAGGAATGCTAAAGACGAGCAGGCTCAACTCTTAAATACCCTGTACCACCCCACAAAAAATTAAAAATAAATTTAATTTAATGAATTAATTTAATTTAATTAATTAACTAAATTACATATAAAATATTCCATACATGCATACATACATTTACATCAGAATCGTGTCTATGCGTGTTTGTGTATTTGTACATATGTATGTATGTGTGCATTGGGCCTGGTTATATGGCTATAGCTTTCTTTATCAACCTATTATAATGAACTTGGTATACTGATATATAATTACTAATTGGATGTGTCAGCCTAATTTTAGTTCAAAACTCCAAGAATTACGGGAGTTATAGAAAATCGTTAATAGTGGGGGGGGGGGGAGTGGGGGGTGCATCGGGAAAAATGAACAAACTCGTCCTTTCTCGGGCTCAGGAGAATCTGTATACCAAGTTTAGTTATTCTAGCTCTTATACTTTCTGAGATCCTTGCGTTCATACAGACAGACAGACGGACATGGGTATATCGACTCGGCTTATCATGCTGATCAAGAATATATACACTTTGTGGGGTCTGCCACGCTTCCTTCTGTGTGTTACATGTACACTCGCACAAAACTAATATACCCTTGTACCCTTTGGGTACAGGGTATAAAAACGTGAATTGGCATGTTCGATGCTCCCCGCGCATTGCCAGTTTTCGAACCGGCCGTGCAAACTATAAGCTTCGTAAAATTTGAAAAGTACATACATACTATATTTACATACATACTCAAATACAAGTAAATGCTTCATAAATTGTACAAAATCGACATCAGGTCTGGGATCAATTCCAGTCTGGCGGTATCTTTCGCTATTGTGTCTCAGTTTGGTTTTGTTTTGTTTTTACTGCCCTCATTGTCTCACCCCGCACTTTATGTTGAGTGGCATGGAGTGCTGCGAGTACATACTTGTAGTTCGATTGTTGTCCTAACAAAAAAAAATTTGTTATGCTTATTCTCGTGCAGTTCACGCTACATGCTAAAAAAGCGGCCGGTGAAGCTTCCAAACAGGCGCTTGAGGTGTCAAAACAGGCTGCGGGTGTTAGCAAAAACACATTCGAAGACCTCACCTATGTAGGTAAATCAACATTGGGGGATCTGACTAAAACAGCCAAAGAAGCTGCATCAAAAAAGGGCATCATCAAAATCGATGAATCCTGCGCGCCGGGCAATACGCCTGTACCTGGTACACAGCTAGCAACTACAAAGCAGGTGCAACAAAGTGGGAACAATTTCTTTTCATCAATTGGCAGCGACTTTAATGGCCTTGCTTCTTCCACTTCGACGATGTTTTCGGGAATGTTTGGCGGAAAAAGTAAGTACAGCGCATTTGAGTTCAGTAGGAAATTTTCATGCTACATTTGCATCCATAGAGAATCAACAGAAGCACTCGCCTCCGCAGCAACAAAAACAGCAGCAGCACAAACAAACCTCATCCATAACTGCAATTAAAAACAAGACGGGCATCAATTTCGACCCATTTCCCAGCCGGAAGGGTCTAGTTGAACGCACGCCTCTTATCAAGCACTCCGGTCCGCGTCAGACACAGGAGGACCTAACGCGTCAGCAGAATCAAGAACGTTCGCACAGCAATGCTGAGAACCAGACTTTCCTTAAGGATGTCACTAATCAGGTGCTGGCAGGCGAAGGTGTGGGCTGGTTAAAGCTAAATCGTTTTAAAAAGCTTATGGAGGACGAGTCTTATCGCACTCTTGTCCTCAGCAAGCTAAACAAGACGTTGGACAAAAAAATTGCACCAGACGATCATATTGACGATGTGGTAAGTTTAGCGATAAATTGTTATCCCGAATATGACTGATTTTAGTACATGTATACATACAAAAATTAACAGATCGTTAGAATATGGTATTTATAGGGGTTACCACCTGTTCTTTAATATGCGTTCATGAATCTATATAAACTTTACATTTCATCGAACTCTACAGTCGAGCAAGCCCGACCGTAAAATACCCTGTACTCCCTCCCACAAAATAGGAAAACTTAAAACAAAACATTTTAAAAATTATATTAACAGAAATTTAAATAAATACAAATTATTCAATACATATATATGTACACACAAAAATTGAGACATGTTTATGTACAGTTTTAACAGCAAACATTTCCATCACAATCGTGTCTCAGCGTGTTTATATGCATATACATATGTATGTGATCTTGTGTATCATAGAATATTTATTATTGATAACGATACCAAGATATATGATATAGTTTAAAATATGAATATAATGTAAAATGATAATGGCGAATATTAGCATATGCAGCTAATGCACTCTTCTAATGCTAATGCTGACTTCTCTGACGGCTTCTCTCTGCTTCTTCTTCTGACTGCTGACTTCTGCTTCTTTCTTTACGGCTGACGACTGTGTTTGTAGTGCGGCTGACAACTTACTACTGACAACTAAGTACATTTCTACTGACTGCTTAAAACCAAAATGAGTACCGAGTACTGATGGCGATGCTGCTTCTAGGTGTTCCGCCATTCTCACTATCCTGCCTTCCCATCTTACATTCGGCCATCCTGTACTAGTCATCGGCCTCCGATGACCACGAGTCTTCGTTATCTGCGATATATCGCCAAAGCCGCATATTATCGCAACTTGTTGCCGTGCTGTTCGGCCCTTCGACGTCTGCAGCCTTGCGCACTTCATATCGCCCGCTACGTTTAATTTTTGTAATTTCATATGGTCCCAGATAGCTAGCTTTCTCCCAGCTACGAATTATGTTCGGCGGATTGCGGCTAGGTTACCCAATTTTAAACGCAGTTGCAACACCTCATTTTCGGTGCTGTTTATAACCTTCTGTACTCTAGCCACAAACTTAAACCATTTTTCAGGACTCTCTGATGACAAGTTGGATATGATTTGTAGTATCGATCGGTTAATGCGCTCTACTTGGCCGTTTCCTCTGGGCACTCCGGTGGTGCTCCAAACATGCTCGATACCATTTTTGCTCATGTACCCCTCGAAAGCTGAAGATGTAAACGCAGACCCTCGGTCACTGATGATGCGACTGGGATTACCGATGATTTCCGACCAGCTGTCGAGCTTTTTAAGAACTTCTTTGCAGCTTGTTGTCTTTGTCGGATACAGCCACACGAACTTAGTAAATGCGTCGACTATAGCAAAAATGTATTTATATTGCTTCGGTGTGGCGTCCATAGGTCCGAGATGGTCAACATGCAATGTGTGCAATGGCTCTCCTCCTTTCTCGACGGGATGAAGAAAACCTTCCTTTTTACCCAACTGTTTGTTGTGGACAATACATTTAATACAATTCGCGATAACATGAGCAACTTTTCCTTCCAAATGTGGTATCCAATAGCTTTGCTTGATCAAGTGCATTGTCTTTTGAACAGCCCAGTGTCCAACAATCGACAATTATTTCTTGCTCCATCGACTTCGGTATAACCAGCAGATCAGTTCCTTCTATCGACTTAAACAGCAATCCTCCTTTGATTTTAAAATTGTCATAGGGGCGGCTGGTTAGAATCTCAAAAATAGCTTTGATCATACAATCTTTTTGTTGATCTGCTTTTATACGGGCTGAGACTTCTGACGTGACCACCATTACTTGCTGTGGGTAGCGACTCAGACAATCGACGTGCCTCAGACGATCTCCACTCCTGTGCTCCACTTTATACTCGAAGTCCTTCAAGTATAGGACCCATTGTGCAACTTCACCTGGTATGTCTTTTTTTGGAAAGCGTTTGCTTGAATGCCGCGCAATCGGTTATAAGCGTGAATGGTTCTCCCAAAATATACTGTCGGAACTTCTTACATGCCAAGAAAATTGCTTTTGCCTCCAGAATATAGCTGTGCTGACGAGCTTCTGCCTCAGTGGTCCTTTTGCTCCAAAAGGAAACCGGATATAGGCTGGCGTCGTTCCACTGTAGAAGTGCTGCAGCAAAATCCATCTTTAGATGCGTCTGTATGTATCTCCGGAAATAGCCCGTTAATCCCAGGAATGACTGTACAGCCTTAACGTTATATGGCACCGAAAATTTGGAAATGGCTTTCGTCTTCTCAATTCCAGGCGTTATGTGTCCATTTTCCACTGTGTGGCCAAGGAAATGGATCTTTGTCTGCAGAAATTGGCACTTTTTCCATTTAATGTTTAGCCCATACTCAGCTGCTTTGTCAACAACTATCTTAATCTTCTTGAGAGATTCCTCTGCTGTCAATCCATAAATAATGATGTCGTCCATATAGAGATCCAAAATGTCATCGTTTATTAAATTTTGGAACACATAGTTCACGAATCGAATAAAAGTCTCTGGTGAATTGCGGAATCCAAATGGTGCTCTGTTAAATTCGAATAGCCCTTGCTTTGTAATGAAGGCTGTAAATTTTCTACTTTCCTCCTCAACTGGAACGTGAAAAAAATCCGTTTTCCAGGTCCATTACAGTAAAAAATTTAGCGCCCTGCAGCTTGGCCAAAACATCGTCGACCACTGGCACTGGGAAACAATCTCGTAGAACCATCTTGTTGAGCTGCCGATAGTCAACGCAAATCCGATTGGTTCCATCTTTCTTCTTGACTATCACAATACGACTGGCGAAGTTCGAAGACGAGCGCCGGATTATGCCTGCGCCCAGTTACTCGTCGATCTGCTGCTTCACTGCTGATTCTTCATTGATGGCAATGCGGCTTGGTGCATGCCGAAAGGGCATGATGTTGTTCTCCAAAACTATTTTGAGTTCGATCGGACACTCAGCAGTCTTCTCGGTCGCCTTGAACTCGGATATCATTGGCTGTACAGCAGATTTGAACTGAGGAGGTATTTCAGGATCAGTATTTGTTATACCCTGTACCCAAAGGGTATATTAGTTTTGTGCGAGTGCACATGGAACACACAGAAGGAGGCTTGGTAGACCCCACAAAGTATATATATTCTTGATCAGCATGACAAGCCGAGTCGATATAGCCATGTCCGTCTGTCCGTCTGTCTGTCTGTATGAACGCAAGGATCTCCGAAAGTATAAGAGCTAGAATAACCAAACTTAGAATACAGATTCTCCTGAGACCGAGAAAGGACGAGTTTGTTAATTTTTTCTGATTGAACCCCCCACTCCCCCCCTATTACCGATTTTCTATAACTCCCGTAATTCTTGGAATTTTGAAAATTTGGTAGTCACATTAGGTTCGTAATTATATATCCGTATACCAAGTTTCATTATGATAGAATGATCGGAAGTTATAGCCATATAACCAGGCCCAATGCACACATACATACATATGTGCAAGTACACAAACACGCATAAGGCACGATTCTGATGTAAATGTAAATGTATGTATGCATGCATGGAATATTTCATATTTAATTAGTTAATATTTAGTTAATTAATTAAATTAGTTTAGTTAATTAATTAAATTAAATTAATGAATTAATTTAATTACTTTTTTGTGGGGTGGTACAGGGTATTTAAGAGTTGAGCCTGCTCGACTTTAGCATTCCTTTCTTGTTTTAACTACATTATAAATACTTATCTGATTATTCTCCTGAGTCTCCTCCCCAGCAGGGGGAGAAAACTTAAATCCAGCCGCCGTCAGTGTGACATTAAACTTTGATAGAAAGTCGTACCCAAGCAGCGCGTCGCATCCAATGTCACCATCAACCACTACCAAGAACTTGTGTAACACCTTCATATTGTTGATCTCGATTTTGTTGAATGCTGCCTTTCTCATTATTGAGACGTCTGCTCCGGTGTCGACAAGTGCATTGACCACTGCATCATTAATTTGTATCTCCCTGAGACGCTTTGCTTCATATACAACATTTACGCCGGCCGAACATGTGCACTCTGTTGACATATGCCCAGTTTTATTGCAACGAAAGCACTTGATTTCAGCTTTTCAGTCCTTGCGCAAATGATGCACTGCACCACAGTTAAAACAATGCTGCTTCGTTTCGCTTCTTACATTTGCATTTTTGTTGTTGTATTTGTTTGGTACAAACTATTTTCTCTCTGCGTACACTTCCTTGTTTGTTTCCGCTACACTTTCGTAAACTTCATATTTCTCTCGCAATTCTTTGAACGATGTGCAGCTATACAAATTGTATTTAAAATCAGTTTTAAGATTTAGCCCATCCACAACATATCGAATTAACGATTCAGTATCCATCATGAAAATGTTCATCTTTGCGCTTTGTGCGAGCACTTAATTGTTTGTGAATTTCGGCACTGAAAATTTTGCCTCGTTGAAATTCATCGATCACCTGTTCACGCAACGATTTGTACTCGTATATATATGAACGTAGACTCCAAAAACAATGCTGCTGTGCGCGTCATCTTGGCGCGTGCCTGAACATACTTTTGTTTTTCGTTCAAACCGTACGCGTCTGCATTTAATTCAAAATTTGTGAACCACTTTTCCACTTGCATATTTTCACCGTCAAACTCCGGAATAATTTTAGAATAATTTTCCACCACCAATTTGCCTTCTTCTTTGCTGCTGTCTTCCGTTTGGCATTTCAGGGTCAATAGTTGCACTAGCTGTTGCATGGTAACGCTGTTTTCGGCTGTTGTGGTTCTATTTGTTTCTTCTTGCATTTTCTCTTGTTTTTCTCTGTTGCCTTCGGACCTTTCTGGCAACATCGTCTCATATGATATTGTCAGTGCGTGCTCACTTGTAACGGTTTCTTTGTCCTCTTTGTTATTCATTTTCGCGAGCGTCGACCGCGTTGAAACTGACGGATTTTTTGTCCTTGGGACTACTGGCGCTTTTCCTTTTAGAATAAACTGACTCACTTGCACTGGCTTCGGCTTTGCAACTGTGGGTACTGGCGTCGGCTTTGGTTTGTAGCCTGATCTCGTTTTTCTGGCACTCATGCAACTTTAATTGAATTTAATGTACATATGAGTATGCATGCCACTTTTCACGCACTTTTTGTCACTTTTTTTTCACAGCTTTCAAAATTTTTAGGTTGAGCCCCCAAATGTGATCTTGTGTATCATAGAATGTTTATTATTGATAACGATACCAAGATATATGATATAGTTTAAAATAGGAATATAATGTAAAATGATAATGGCGAATATTAGCATATGCAGCTAATGCACTCTGGTTCGACGGCTTACTTCTCTGACGGCTTCTCTCTGCTTCTTCTTCTGACTGCTGACTTCTGCTTCTTTCTTTACGGCTGACGACTGTGTTTGTAGTGCGGCTGACAACTTACTACTGACAACTAAGTACATTTCTACTGACTGCTTAAAACCAAAATGAGTACCGAGTACTGATGGCGATGCTGCTTCTAGGTGTTCCGCCATTCTCACTATCCTGCCTTCTCATCTTACATGTATGCAGCACAAAGTTGAACCAAAGCAGCGACAACATCAACAGCTGCGGGCAGAGCTTCGGTAGAGATTGTATTTATAGCTATAACTTTCTTCATCATCTGCATGATGAAAGTTGGCATACGGACACATAATCATATGAGCTCAAAATTCCAAGAATAACGGGAAATATGAAAGTTTGTGATTAGCGGGGGAGTGGAGGGTTAGGTTAGGTTTGGCTGCGATGGCTATTGATTGAGCTGGTCCACCCCGAGTATTTCTGCTAGATTGCTAAGAAATGGCCGCCCTAGTGTAGCTAATCTTCGCCTGCTTAATGCAGGGCAGTGTGCTTCCTCCTCTTCTACGTCTCTGCAGCTTCTGCAGGAATCATTGTATGGCCGATCGGACAGTGTCCAGTGAGTACCCCCAGTATCAGTGAGACTTCAGTTTTACTATATTTTAGAGCTAAGCAGTTCTTTTTATACTCTGTACATGAAATGTACAAGAGTATATTAGGTTTGCGCGAGCTGAAAAATGTAACAGGCAGAAGGAGGCGTGGCAGACCCCACAATGTATATATATTCTTGATCAGCATGACGAGACGAGTCGATCTAGCCCTGTCTGTCTGCCTGTCTGTCTGTCTGTCTGTCTGTCCGTCTGTCCGTCCGTCCGCCCGTATGATCACCTAGATCTCAGAGACTATAAGAGCTAGAGACACCAAATTTTGCAAAAAGATGCCTTATGTGTGTACGCTATACGAGTTTGTTTTATTTTTTGATTTTCCCCCCACTTTCCGCCTATGGGGGTTTTCCCGATTTTCCATTCGTATAATCGCCTATATCTTGGAGACTATAACACCTAGGGACATCCAATTTTAATCCAAGATGCCTTATGTGAATACGCAGAAAATGTGTATTTTGGAATTCCCCCCCCCCCCCCCGCCCCCCCCTCCCTTCCCCCGCTACAGAATTTCGTCAACAGCGTCCACATTTCGAATGCTACCTAAACCAAACTTTGCACACATAATTTATATATAATTACATATAACTCAGTGACGGAAGTTTACCTGGGTACAGGGTATTACACTGTCGGGCTTGCTCAACTGTAGCGTTCTCTCTTGTTTTAATTCTCTTAAGTTTTTATAGCCTTTACATAAAGGGTGAAAGGCTATACTGGTTTTGTGCGCATGTATGTAACACACAGAAGGAGGCGTGTCAGACCCCACAAAGTATATATATTCCTGATCAGGGTGACAAGCCGTCCGTCCGTCTGTATGAGCGCAAGGATCTCAGAAGGTACAAGATCTAAAATAACCAAACTCGGTATCCAGATTCCCATAAGCTCTAGGCAGGTCAAGTTTATTTTTTTACTCCTCTCCCCCGCAAATCGTGTTTTTGTTTATAAATTTCGTAATTCTTAGAATTTTGAAATCAATTTTGGTAGTTACATCCAGTTAGAGGTTAATTGTCCGCGTGTGAAGTTTCGTCATGATAGGTCAATTCTAAAGAAAGTTGTAGCCATAAATAAAATTTCTGCTCATGTGCTGTCCGCAGCTCTGCCGGCAGCGCTGCCCGCAGCTGTTGTTGTTGCTGCATACATATACGCATTAGACACATTAGTACTAACTGGATGTACCTACCAAAATTGATTTAAAAATTCCGAGAATTACGGAAGTTATAGGAAAAAACACGAATTGCGGGGGAGTGGAGGGGTGCATCAGAAAAAACAAACTCGTCCTTTCTCGGACTTAGGAGAACCTGGATATCAAGTTTGGTTATTCTAGCTGTTATACTTTCTGAGATCCTTGCGTTCATACAGACGGACGGACGGACGGACGGACGGACGGACGGACAGACGGACAGACGGACATGGCTATTATCGACTCGTCTTCTTATCCTGATCAAGAATATATATACTTTGTGGGGTCTGCCACGCCTCCTTCTGTGTGGTACATACATGCGCACAAAACTAGTATAGCCTTTCACCTTTTGGGTACAGGCTATAAAAATTTTATTTTTTTTTAATTTCCTTTTTTGTGGAGAGTACAGGTTTGTTTAATTTATATAATTTTTCTAAACATATGTACAGAGTATTTCCCAGTCGGGACACCCGACTTTAGCATTTTTACTTATTTTTCTTTGGGAACATGGCATACATTTATATTTGAGTACTTTATGAAACATCTGACGCTTGACTTTTTGCGGATTACAAAAAACTGGGAGGAAGAGAAACGGAGCTACTAATTCAAGTATAAATTTGTATAATTTCAGTGCGTTACGAAACCCGTATGGAAAGGAATGCTTAAGTGCGTCCAGGCTATTGCTGGAGGCTTAGATGTAACCTTTACCAATTTTGGCTTGGGTGGTATGGCTTCCGTTTTTCAACTTATGGAGGTAGCGCACACACATTACTGGAGCAAAGAGATCAACGATGGCAGCGATATGTCATCCAGCCTGATGTCTAGCCATGCAGCTAGTCCCATGGGAAGTCGTGAGAATCTACGCTCTCCTTCCAGCCCAAACGATTCCCATTCAGGCGTGGGTAACGAATGGGCTTCACCTCAGGAGTCGCGCAAAAGCTCTACGCACACGGAACGTGCAGGTCCACCAGCTTCAGGCTTGGCAGCAGCACGTCGCCTTTCTTCAGCTGATAGCCAGGATGGACAGTCTACTACAGATATGTTCAAGGATATGTTGTCACAGAAAAGAAGTGCCTTGAAAAATATGCTGACGTCCTTCGATTCAGATGTAAGTCCCTGACTTTAGACATATGTATGTATGCAGGTTACTTGTCCGCAGTTGAACTTGGCGCGTTTATCTCATCCATAGCTATAGCGAATCTTAATATAATCATATATTTATATAAATACTTATAAATATCGTTAAACATACTTGCTATATATAATACGGAGCCCCCTTTTAGCATATAAATATATACAGGCAGATGTAGTTCTATGGCGTCCACGGCTACACCTCGTCGCCTGTGTGCCGTCATGCCACGGCATTGCAGTCAAGCTTTATACCGCTATATATTTGTACTTATATATACAAATCTCGTATATATTGTAATTCATAGGCTGCTGGCTCTACGGGCGCGCTCTCCGTGGTCAGTGATCTACTGCCGGCTGGCAGTCTCAGCATGCGCATGCCCACCAGCTGCCGCTCGACAGTTTCAGATACAGAATACGAAAATGTAAGTACAATACAACTCGGCGGCTTATTAAAAATCTAATCGCCAATTAGTCATCAGAAATTTGAATTCAGCAATGGGTTATCAATGATTAGTGGTTTGGAATGCGTAAATAGCCTCCAGGCAAAAATAACTAGAATGGAGCAAGTAGCAGTTACACACAATTGTGTGCTAGTATTTTTTCTGTCATTGGCATCATAGCCAGGAAGTTGTGGAATCGGAGTTAAAGCGGGCATGTCTGAAAAGTACGATATATATGTATATATATCGTACATATATCTATACATATATATACCTAATGCTGTTCCAACGCTAATCTTACAGACTACTACCTCAAAGGACTCAAAAAAGAGCAGCGGCAACCTGTGGTCTGGCAAATCTACTCTAAGTGCTGGCTTCCGTTATACTGGCGGCCATTTAATAAATACATCTTCGTCGCCATCGCCAGATAGTCCGCGCGTTTATATATTCGAGGGCTTGCTAGGCAAGGATCGATTAAATCTGTGGAATCAAATGCAATTCTGGGAAGATGCGTTTCTCGATGCCGTGAGTCAGGAACGTGATATGATTGGCATGGATCAGGTATGTACTTTTATTAGCGAAATCAGAATTTTGCTCTTGATATATTTTGTGCCTATTGCAATTTACAGGGTCCCATTGAAATGATGGAACGCTACAAGTCCTTAAGTGAATCGGAACGCAAGAGACTAGAGCATGATGAGGATCGCTTACTGTCTACTATGCTATACAATTTAACAGCCATCTTAGTAATGCTTAATGTGAACAAGGATGAGATACGTCGAAAGATCCGTCGTCTTCTGGGAAAGAGTCACATTGGCCTCGTTTACTCTCAAGAGGTTCACAATGTGGTGGATCAGATCAACAATCTGGTGAGTTGAAATGGGATTGTCGTGAAAGTATACTGAATATAATTTCATAAATTGGTCACGTAATATATATAATCTTCAGAATAAGTATAGAAATTTAAAAAAAAAAAAATTTCATCGATTTTACCACCTTTTGGGAACTCACGTAAATGGTGTATAATTGCACATTTACATAGGAATTGTGTCCATGTGAGTGTAAAGCAGCTGCAACAGCAACAGCTGCGGGCAGCGCTTGAGCGTTTTCTATTTGCCATATGCTATAACATTCTTTAAAATCGGCATCGGAAATTCTAAAATACATATTTTCTGCGTATTCACCAAAGGCATCTTGATCTGAAATTTGGTGCTCTTACGTCTTATAGTCTCTGAGATTCAGGTGTTCATACGGACGGACGGACAGACAGACATAGATCAACTCGTCTTGTCATGCTGATCAAGAATATATACACTTTGTGAGGTCTGCCACGCCTCCATCTGCCTGTTACATTTTTCAGCTCGCGGAAACGTGAGTTCGAATATCGAGAGAGGTAAAATCGATCCAAATTTTTATACCCTGTACCCAAAGGGTACAAGGGTATATAAGTTTTGTGCGAGTGTACATGGAACACACAGAAGGAGGAGGTAGACCCCACAAAGTATATATATTCTTGATCAGCATGACAAGCCGAGTCGATATAGCCATGTCCGTCTGTCCGTCTGTCTGTCCGTCTGTCTGTCCGTCTGTCTGTCTGTATGAACGCAAGGATCTCCGAAAGTATAAGAGCTAGAATAACCAAACTTGGTATACAGATTCTCCTGAGACCGAGAAAGGACGAGTTTGTTCATTTTTTCTGATCCACCCCCCCGCTCCCCCCCTATTAACGATTTTCTATAATTCCCGTAATTCTTGGAATTTTGAACTAAAATTTGGTAGTCACATTAGGTTCGTAATTATATATCCGTATACCAAGTTTCATTATGATAGAATGATCAGAAGTTATAGCCATATAACCAGGCCCAATGCACACATACATACATATGTGCAAGTACACAAACACGCATAAGGCACGATTCTGATGTAAATGTAAATGTATGTATGCATGCATGGAATATTTCATATTTAATTAGTTAATATTTAGTTAATTAATTAAATTAGTTTAGTTAATTAATTAAATTAAATTAATGAATTAATTTAATTACTTTTTTGTGGGGTGGTACAGGGTATTTAAGAGTTAAGCCTGCTTGACTTTAGCATTCCTTTCTTGTTTTTTTTAACTTTCATAATTTTTATTTTTTTTTTTATAATTATTGTAAACATATGTACAGAGTATTTCAAAGTCGGGACACCCGACTTTAGCTTTTTTACTTGTTTTTATACCCTGTACCCGTAGGGTAAAAAGGGTATATTAAGTTTGTGCAAAGTATGTAACATACAGAAGGAAACATCTCCGACCCCATAAAGTATATATATTATTGATCAGCATGACGAGAGAAATTGATCTAGACATGTCCGTCCGTCCGTCTGGGTGAACGCGAGGATCTCAGAAACTATAAAAGCTAGAATAACCAAAGTTGACATCCAGATTCTCCTAGGTCCGATAAATAATTATCTACTGTTGTTTAAAATTTTATTCAATTCTGTCAATTCTAAGAAAAGTTATTAGCGAAACAAATTTTCGCCAGTACAACCCCCCCAAACTGCAGCAACAAGTTCGCTCTTCTTCTTCCTCTTTTTGCTGCTGCTTTGGGCGCATATAACTCAGTGACGGAAGTTTACCTGGGTACAGGGTATTACACTGTCGGGCTTGCTCGACTGTAGCGTTCTCTCTTGTTTAATGGATCGGAAAGGGATTAGTCAATGGCATAGAAAACTAGCGGAAATACCCTGTACTACTTATTTGTGTATAAATATAAAAAAATTGGAAAAAAACAAGTGGAAACTTTAAAATACTCTGTACTATTGTGTAAGCTAATTACTTATATAAATTTACAAAAAACAATAAAACAAAATTGTAAAGCAAATTCATTGGTTAAGCTGTGCGTGCAGGGTATTTTTAAGTGACTTGAGTGACTTGACTAAGATGAACTAGAATGAATTGTTGTCCAAAAGCTAAACAATTTTACGTTTGTTAATTTCTTATCGCATAGAACGGTAACGACATCGATTTGAAACCCTTGGGCTCACGACTTCTGCATCGCCAGAGCTTTACGGTACATCAGGGCACTGATGTGAATGGGCCGCTGCGTTTTATGGAAGTACGCGACGATGGATTGATTCTTCGTTCCGTTGATGGTACTATTGTGGAGCGGTGGTGGTATGAACGTCTAGTGAACATGACCTATTCGCCCAAGACCAAGCTTCTATGTTTGTGGCGGCGCAATGGTGGACAAACACAGCTGCACAAATATTATACCCGCAAGGTTAGTGGTTCCTAAATCTCGATTTTAGCAAAGTCCAAAATGTCTTTTAATCACCATGTAGTGCAAAGAGCTGTATAATTGTATTAAGGAGGCTATGGAGCGTGGTGGAACGCCCACAAATGTGCCCGAGCTGGGCGGGGAGTTTCCCGTACAGGACATGAATACGGGCGAGGGTGGTCTTCTCCAGGTCTGTCTTGAGGGTGTCGGTTTGTTGTTCTCAAACAGTAAGGTAAGTGCGTCCATCTTCACATACATAGATACACTCTCCCGCCGCTCTACTCGTTATGTGTAACCTTATGCATCTATAAGGCGCCATAATCATTATCAGAGCATCAGACATCAGTCGTACATAAGCCAAGCCAAACCAAACCTGTTACTGGTTCATATAAAAAACCCGCCCAACTTCAATTTATCATAATAACCATACATACATATATACTATACGTACTTTGTACCATACGCAAATAGGTTGTCAGTCGGCCAACATTGCTTGGTGTGATCAGTGGGGTCAGCTCCCTATCTTATTCATTACCATCAGTGCAATGCGGGGCCGACGACCAACTCAAGGCCAAAGTCAAGTCAAATTTTCAAGGCAAATTTGCTAATATTCTCTTTCTCATTTGTAACGCACAAAAACACAAACTGAACAAATAAAAAAAAAAGAAAAAGAATAAAAAATACAATGAACCCTAAATCTGAACTTATTACAGTTTCTCAACTAACTAAGTTATTCATTTTTATTATAAGTTAACCGACCTGGATATTTCAATTTTTCTGGCTTTGGTTTACTTGAGTCTTAAGTTGAATTACCTTTTGCATTGGTCAGGTTTTTCTTCTATTTCTTTGTGTAACGTGGACAAAGGAAAACTACTTCGCTATGGAGCAAAAGATTTTATTAAATGTTGTTAAGAAAACGCAAGGACCTTCTCAATTATTATTGTTGTTTGTTTTTCGTTATCAGTTTGTGTGCTGCACTTTAAGTAATCGTAATTCTTAAAAAAAAGAAAACACATTATTCCATTGTCACAGTTAATAGAAAATAAATTCTTAGCTGAAAACTACTACATACTATATGTAGATGATAGGTACCTATTACCATACGAAAACAAATTTCAATTGGGGACCGCTATTTCACAGACTGTTTGTACATAACCTCTTATGTACCTCGGATATACTTTAGTAATTGAAATTTACGAGTACATGAGAGTAACATTACCTGCAACGATATGGACATACCTAATTGTGACTACTTCAGCGCGTTCAATTCAGTTGAACTAGCAGTAGTAGTGAAGTAAATGATCAAGTCACATGCTGTTAGTACCGTTGGCTAACATATCTATTTTAAGTGTGTGCCAATTTATTCGTACATATCTTATTTTTTTTTACCAACTGAAACCAATAAATCTTAAGACTTTTGAAAAATACTCTACCTATTACTTTTTTAAGTATAAACATACATTATATTTGTTATTGTCTTCAACTTCGTTTCGGTTTAAGCTTTTTTGTTTGTTTGTTGTTGGTTTGTTTGTTTTCTCGTCTCTTTTATACTATATTGATATTTAATCATATGACGCCAATCAGCAAACGAATCTCAAAGTAACAAATCCCTGCGATCAAATCAAAATATAAGAAAAATCAATGAAATATACCATATATCATATCCATATATTGTGCTAGTGAATGTATTGAATGCTATATTCATTATACTCTCAATTTTATTTACCTAACCTACCTAATGACAAACATTTCTCTTATGATTGCTATTATTATCGATTAATATTATTATTATTGGTATTATTATAATAATTCTTTTATTTGGTGTATACATTTTAACATAATTATTATTATCCTATTACATTCATCAATTTGATAAGTAACGTTCGTAAACGTACTCTATAGTAACTCTGCAAATCCCCGACATTTTTATCATGTAAATCATCATCTTTCTAGTTTTCTTTTCAACTTGTAAAATGTACAACTTATTTAAAAAAATTATAATAACAATAATAGTAATAATCAATAAATAAATAAAAGTGTAACAATCTAATAACTGCGTTAATTTTAAGTTTCATTCGCTTTTTTAATTGAATTTCTTTGACTTACATATTTGTTACGATAAAAAAAAATGCCTTGGAACACATGGTGTGGATATGAAATAAGCAGTATAAGCTCATTTGCCGAAAAGCTCCATTCATTCAATTTATTTGTTACTTTCGTCCCGCATTTAGTTTGGACTTATGAAGTACTACCATTCGTAATTTTATTATTTTCCTGTATGTATATATACTAGTTAATCTATATTTTAAGCTTTGCCTAGCAGCGCAAGTGATTATAATTTTTTGGTTGTTCGTTTTTATTATTCGGGTGAGAGGTACATACATATGTATGTGCGTGAGTTTTAATTCTCCCAGTCTTAAGCACACTTGGAGCAAAGCTATGTATTTATGTATGTGCTGACGCATATATGCTTATGTATAAATATGTATACATAGTATGTATTACATACATATGTATGTAACTTTTTGTAACCTAAGTTCAGGTCTGTCACAAATGAGAAATTATTTAATTTTCGTTATAAAGTCCTTGTCAAAATACGGTTCTAACCGGTAATATAGCAGTAAACGTTCACTAAAAAAACTAAATATACATAATATATAATACATTTTTGTGCATTTCTCTTCTAAATTGATAACTTTTGAGATGGTCCTTGTGTATATTTGCTAATTCCGTTTTTTTTTCCTATACCCTCATGATTTGATATTTTGTGCTTTGTGTTTTTAATAGTATATTCTCTCCTTTTTCTCTTCCCTGTCTTCTGCTTTAACGTATTCTTACAAACCAAGTTCTTTTGCAGCTAAAAGCTCATTAATTATTTCTTCTTATATACATATAAATATATTTTGCTCTGCTTTTCGTTTTTTATTTGTTGTAATTTTGGAAGTAAACGGCTTGCGTTTTTTTTTTTAATATGATTTTTTATGCAAATAATAAAATACCAATAGCTAGGAAAACAACGACAAATAGAATATGGTTGACTTATCCATGAAATAATATGAAATAGCCCCTTCATTATCCCCCAAAGCCCAACTCCGAAACGTCTATAACATAACAACAACCACATTTCATATCGTTTCTAATTAGTAATAAACAAAACAAAGCAAAACGCAAGAAAAATACTAAAAATAAATCAACCAAAAACTTCATTGAAAAAATCGTATTTCTACTTTCTTTTATAATTTTCTTTGTTGTTTGTTTAATGTTTTTTGTCGTATGCGGAACGCTGCCACCGTTGCGCCATTACATCGTTGCTCTCCCATTTGTGGACTTAAAAAACTCGTTCCGTACGAAATGAAATGAATCGAATCATTCCAATGATTGGTCTTCCTCTCTCACATGCAAAATTGCAAATAAACAAATGTAACTGAAACAAACGCTATTCGATAAACGACTAACAAATCTATAACAAAAATTAACAAAAATACGATCTGAATATACGAAAAAGGATTTCGAGGTACTGCAATAAACAAATTTTTTCCTTGTTAAATTTGAATTTAACTTAATAAGAAACTATTGTTATGTAACTCCTGTACCTATATTTTGAGTTTTCTGATTAAAATTGTACTTCACATTTCGTTGAACATATTTTATTTTCTAGTATCACCAACAGGAATATATATATATATATATATATATATATATATATATATATATATATATATATATATATTCCTTGTATTTCTTTATATAAATACACATTTAAGAATTTGTTTTTGTATGCCATATACATATTTAATGTAAATGACATATAAAAACTACAAAAAACAATTCTATACAACAATAAAGAATAAGTAGTTGATATTAAACTTAATCAAAATAATATATGTTATTATATATATTATTTATAAATTTCTTACGTTACATAACTGATATTTTACTTTTTGAACGGTTTGTTCGTTTGTTTGTTGAATTGAACTCAATAAAAACGCTTTTAAACGTTTTTAACTTATATCGTGTCTTTTTCGCGATTTGCAAACTTTAGTTATTTAATAATTTCACTTTAAAATATGTTTTTCATAGCGACATTTGGAAATACATATTTGTCATATGTCACTATTTTAAGTGTTCCTTAAGTTTCCAGAAATTAGCTACACACACCTAAACACCTAAATACGCACAAACCCAAAATTGGAATTAAAAACTATACCAATCCAATTCACACTTTAAAATATAAGTATCACCATAATCATTGACAACTTTTGAGAGCAGCTAAGATCAGCTACCAGCTCACAAGGCATTGAGCATGCAAAGCACTCTGTCATTAACTATACATACATATGTTTGAGCAATTATTCATTACCCGAAAAACTTATCTAGATTCAGCTGTTAGCTATTATTTAAATGCATATAATTATAGGTGACTTGAATAAGGTTGTTAATATTGATAATTAATTGCATAAATAATTCGAAATGGAGACTTTCGATCTTCGGCAAACTGTCTTTTTGTACCCTGTACCCAAGGGCGTACGCAGTTTTTTACGAAGGCTGGGGGCGTTAATTTGCTGCACACTTTGCTTTCTCCAAATTTAGATATGAAAATTAAGTTATTAATTTTCTTGGGTTTTGTATAAAACTCATAAACAATGAACTCTTCTAATTCCGCATTTTTTCGGCTACTAATTGCCAGTGTACGCTCAACATAAATCCTTAAAATAAAAAACAAGTATAAGTACATTTGTATATATGTATAGGAATGTTATATTTTAATTATCTCACCGTGGTCATTGTGCATGACATAGCGAGCACATTTGTCAACGCCTGTCCGATTTTTGGATTGTTCGTAGGCATCCGCCAAATGTATATCCTTTAATTTTGTACACGCATGACAACATAGTTCTAACTCGTGCTCTATTCCTGTTAAGCCGTAAATAGCGCTAGCACAATCTATTTTTTCTTTTGTATCGTCGAATGAAACATTTTTAATTTGATTTGGGTGCAAAGTAGCTTATCTGCGACATTAAAGAATCAAGGTACGCGACCGAAATACCTCTCTGGTAATAAAAAAAAGCTGATGTAAATAGTTGATCTGGTCAATTTGTTTGTTTTGCGCTCTTCTTGGCATAGCTTTTTCAATTGAAACGTTATTTGCTAATTTGGAGGCATTTGTAAAAATATGATTGAAAACTACATCCGCGGTCGATCTGTGCATAGTCAAGGAATCCAATACTGTACATGTATATGTTCGGTGCGTTTTAAAATGTTATGCATTTTCGATTGCAATTTATTTACAATAAGTTCAAGAACGCCGTAGTACTTCGATATAGTGCATAGGCTAATTATAAACACGTTTTTACACGCAGCACTACTCGTATGTAGCAAAAATGCTCAGTTTTTCTGTTTCAACAACGATTCCATTCAAATATTTAGTAAAATCGCGTTTTCCATATATATGTAATAATATACTTGTATATTTTTAATATTAAAAGGATCGCGGTGATTTACGTCGTGTCACGAAAAAATAACAGCTTATACCCATTCATAGAAACAACAGTCAGGTAACGTTACAGTCAATCACGGTGTATTCAAATTTTGATTAAATATAAAAAATCCAACTCAGTTGAGGCAACAAATTGTGGGTGTTTTTGCGTTACGCCAAAAACTGCCCACTCCCCCTCCCCCCAGCGTACGCCCTTGCCTGTACTCGAAAGCTACAAATATTACATGTGCAATGTGCAGAAAAAACATATCTCCATTAAAGATTCCAATATATTCATAATCAGTATGACAGGAGAAATCAATCTCTGCATGTCCGTCCGTCTTGATGAACGCCAGGATTTCGGAAACGGCTTACCATAAATTGCCCGAATTCTCCTACTAGGCAAGTTCTTTCATTTTTTTTTCCTCCCACTCCTTTACATAATTAATATGTACACACATATGTATATAGTTATTTACTTTTGATTTAAGTTGGCCACAAAAAGGCTAGTTCTAGGTTATTAGAGAAAAAATTTTATTACAGTACTACGCATCGAGTTCGCTCTTATTTTTGCACAGCTGCGAAAGTTATTTTGGGTACAGGATATTCCACTGTCAAACTTGCTCCACTGTTGCATTTTATTTTGACTTTGTGGTTCGCCTTACCAATTTTAACGGATCTGGGCACAATGTTTCATCTTTTTAACGGGTAAACCTACCGAATTTGCTGTGTTGGAGGCTTATTGAACAAACTCATGTTGGTACATGTATAAACTAATAGAGGATATATCAAAAGTTATAAATATTATTAGGGCCATGTCGCATATAAAAATATGGTATAAAAATATGATACGCTGCGGAGACGTGAAATTTAGAGGAATGTAAACGCTCACATACTTGTAGCAAGGCGTTTTCTGTGGAATTGCACATATGTATGTACATACATATGTATGTACTATACATACTGTATACAACCGCAAACACACACGCAAGACTTAAAGTAATTTCATAACTTAATGAAATTAGTAAGAGTTCTTCGCTAATCCCATTCCAATTCAACCAAGCATGGATTAAAACAACTTTGTTTGCCAGTGAAAATGATGCCATTTTTGGAAGGATTGCTCATACATATTACCGACACTGTGGCTGATCTCAAGCGCAGTAAAAGCGAGCAGTTGAAGATTCGTGAACTTCTTTTTGAAATTGCCTTGGGTGATCAACGTCGGACGAAGCTCCTCAATAAACTTTGTGGCCTAGGTACAGATCAGCAGCATAAGCGAGGATTTTCTAAAATCTTAGTGGATGCAACGTCTGCACTGAACGTGTCATTCTTCAAGCTGCACGCCGCGATTAAAAGGCTCGTCGAAATCAGCTCGCAATTTCTCGTTCTCGCTCCCTTTCACAAAGTAAGGTTCAAAAAACCATATTCTGCTTTGCTGCCCACCGAACTAGTACCACACTATATGTGCGGGTGTTTTGTTTGTTGGTACATTCGTTTTCGCAAACGTTACCATGCCAATCATTGGATAGATTTTCTTAGACATTCGACCTGTTGGTTGATGTCAAACGGCCCCATCGATCGTCACAGAAACATCGCTACAACCACGAGGCATTGCACGACAAACGTGCGGGCCGACGATAGTGCCGCACATCACTAACGACGATGTAACTCACTAACATAACACACACATGTCTCCTTCCGATGTAACATCATCTATCATCGAGAGCAAACTAGCTGCCACTAAGAACGAATTCGCTTACATGCTAAACCGTGGTATTTGCCGTCCCTCTAGTTAGCAGTTGGGCAAGCACTGGTCTTGGCCAACACATTGTTCGAAAAGCCAACACGAATGTGCACCGTGGCGATTATAGAGCACTAAACGCAAAGACAGTGCCTGATCGCTACCCATTACCAATCGTTCATGACGTCACAAACATATTCTACAACAAAAACATATTCCCAGTCACCTACTAGCAGCGAGCATTCCAGTCGACCCAAAGACATTCTGAACAGTGTTAGAACGTCTTCGGCATAACAATTGATGCAAATGGATTTCTTCCATTTCTGCTGTCAACTGAAACAAATCTTAATGCTGTAAGAAGTAAAAGCAAAGTGCAATTGCTGATAAAAGAATCTAAGTTGATCTTGCCAGCGCTACCTAATTAACATTTCTTGCCCCAATTGCAAAACTCTCTGCATGGGATCACAAACATATCTACGCATTCTGTTAGAAATTGGATAAAACTCCGCAAGAATGAGGAAGGCACCTGGAACATGGCAAAAATGTTTGCCAGAGACAATGAAGTTGCGAATTTACTCTCACGCATTAACGCTATTACCGAAAAAACGTATAACAAAACCTTGATAAACTTAAGAAAGATTGCATTGCACAATGCGTCGTCTTTTCTTTACTGCGACTTTAATACAGGCACAGCTCGACCATTGATACGGAGAGCTACACGATGTAAAATTCAACGCCACAACAAGAAAGCAACTGGGAGCTACGGACTAACAGAACGACTTTTTGATCAGATATACATCGACATCATTGAACCATTGCCGACCTCACAAGGAAATCGATCCTTGCCCTCTAGTCGTGCTTGGATTACGTACCACTTAGAAGGAATACTTAGCAGCCAGCCCAGCCAAAATGCTTCTTCCTGTTGAGTTTGCCACGCCAGGCAAGAACGAGGCAAAGAAACGGAATTCAAAAAGTTAACTGTAGAGAAAATTGAGTCCCTCAAAGAAAGCAGCACTTCCTGCCATAGCACAAGGAAAACTTTCCTGTAGCCCGACATCAACAAAGCAAGAAGCGAATTTGTTCGTATGGAACGCACTCACACTTCTTGGGAAGGGTCCAAAGGATGTAAGCAGAAAGAATAAATTCTTCAAAGTTCGCTTGGCGAAGACAGATGCATACATCTCCATCGACCGGCTAAGAAATGCATTTTAAGACAAAGCAAAGAAGTTGTCCACAGAATGCTGCCAACAAAAAGAATCATTTTTTCCATCTTAAGCCAAAGAAAACGGTCTCGTGTGATGAGCATTGTCTCACTTGTGTGAACTTCTACTACTTCGTGTAGTGATAATTATATTACGTACATAATCACGTATTTAAAATCTGTGGCACTTGGGTTATTGAGGCGAATAGCAACCTTGTCATAGTACATACATACATACATATGTATATGCTTATAAGTACCACGCCCACAAAACAAGAACACACCATGAGAACAGTAACACCAAATTCTAGAATGTTCTGTTCACGGTTTCGAATTGCTTTAGTTTTATATCTAAATTGTGAATTTAAAAACAGAACAGGACAAAAACGTAGCTATCTTAGAGACAAACGAACATACATACACACATAAAATACATACATATTGTGTTTTTGGAAATGTTCAACATGTGCTTGGATAACAGTTCAAAGTTTTAAGTTGGTTTCTGAAGTCCAAGTAGCACCAGAACAACCCAAACCGCTTTTCTTTTTATTAATAAGTATTTATTATTTTGCTTGAGTAGATTAATTTTAGAGCAAACATTAAATGAAAATTGTAGTAGTAGCTAAGTAATAATAATAAAAAACAACTAATGCGGAACTGAAACTCCTAGCAAGAAATACATCACACCCTCCCCCTTCCCTTACCAAAACAAACCATAAAATCCACCACTACAACAAATAGTTTTGATCGCCTTACCTAGTACATTCATCTATTGAGCTTAGTTTTGAACGTTAATCTACTCGTACATGCTACAACTGGCTAACAATTTCCCTCTATCTCTCTCGTTCCTTTCTTCGTATCTCACAACTTATATTGCTTAGTCTGTCAGAGTCTCTGTTTTTCTGTATAGTTGTATTACTTTATTATTCCTTATTTTGATTTTCTGTTTTTCTACAATATCTTAAATAAAAAACAAAGTAGAAAAAGTAAAGGTAAACATTGTGCTGCCTCGCTTGAGCATTCACAGGCATTATAATTAATCATTTTTTCATACGCTTGTCCCATGAACATCTTGTTATTGCGATACGTACGCTTTCTAAATCCTGCTGTACCCTATCGTTCACATACGCCTCTAAGGCCACAGCTTCTACGGCTTGATGGCTTATTACGTCAGAAGACATTCGCGACCCATCGTCTTTCCACACAAAATCATAAAAATTGCCTGCGGCATGTTTTCTATGTTTCAAGTTCCAAAAATATTGCTAATACGCGTGACATTGTCCTTGCTACTCCGCTCCCGCCTCATCCCACCGTTCCACTTTCTGCGCTCGTTGTAAGCCTTTGTGCTGTCAAATTCATGCTGAGGCACAAGTCCTTAGACTCTGATATGTACGAGGAAATCCGTTACGTTTTCGTGTCATGTGCATGTAGTGACGAAAGCTCCCGTAAATGATCACTACGCAGCTATTAGTATTCACACACATACACAAACTACACTTTCGTTTAATAGTTATTTTCTGTTAGTAAAAAACTATCGCAAAAAAAAAAACCACAATAATGAAAGCAATATTCCAACACTGAAATACTTTGAACGACCATCTCACAAGTGCTAATTAGAAATTAAAAACATATATATATATATATATATATATATATATATATATATATATATATATATATATATATGTAATATATATATATATATATATATATATATATATATATATATATATATATATATATATATATATATATATATATATATATATAAAGAGAGAGAGAGAAAGCTGTATATACTAAACAAACAAAAAGTTATTCAACAATAAACTTCATTTATTAACATATTAATATTTTGCTGCATTTTTCTAACGTTTTAATTTTGTTCATTTCCAACGAGTTCTTTTCTACGTACATACTATTTATTTAGATTCTTGAGTTTAATTTAAAACCCAGTTACAAACAAAACGCCCAGTCTCTAGTTCCTTATTTCCTGCTGTGTAATTTTCTTTTTCTCGAATACTCATACTTTTCCCGTTTTTTTGTAGTCATGCGAATCCATATGTAAAGATATATGATGTACATATGTTTGGATGTATGTATGTGTGTATTCTTTCTGCGCGTTGTGTGTGTGCCATTGTTGCACTTTGCAAACGTTTGCGCACTGTTTGTTTGCTTGCTTCCCCGTTGCTCTTTTGCTTGCTACGTGTATGTTGCTTTGTGGATCGAATTCGCATTTAAGTTTTTAGTTGGTTGGCCGATTTAACTATCTATTGCATGCCTGCCGCCTGCAAGTGGTTCCGTTTGGTGGTGCGTTAATGGGGGCGATTATCTTAGAAACTGCAACTGAGCAATCAATAAATACATACATACAAAGTATAATAATACTAATACTCCCACTAAGTGCTCGTCGAATCCATCAACGCGCTGCCTGCTGGAGGATTTCAGTTGTGACTTTTTGTTTCGGATTGCTTTTGCTTGGTACCTGTAAGTTGGACATCTTTGACGTTAGTTCCATACACCACAATACAAAAATACCAAAAAATTCTGTAAAGAGAACAAAACCTTGCCAGATTCTGCCTACATACATATACATACTTGTACATGTGATTTACTATACTAACTAATTACTATTCGCGTATACTCTAATTTATGACTTTATTTGATTTCGTCGTCTGCCTTTAGTTGTATTTTTACATTACGTTGTCGACTCCTTGGTTGTGTGCCGTTCTGTTAGTCAACGCGCTAAGCCTTGAGGCCTACGCTGCTTGCTAGCAAAGATTCCTTTACAGAATTTTTGAGTGCTAATTTATTGTTTGTGTTCTGCCCCATTATTTCAGTTCTTCGTGCGTTTGGATCATATACGCAAGTGCTTCACGCAAAAAGGCGGCATATTCGTACTGGAGGAATACAGTAAGTACCCAAAGGATACACAAACTACTTAGTTTTATGCGAATATATGTAACATATAGAAGCAGACATGAAAGACCACCATAGTATACAAACATACATCTCATTCCGCTATTAGTGGTTCTCCATTTCCAAAGCCATTTCCATTGGCTTTTCATACCACTTTGCGTAAAAAGGTTTGTGCAAAGTGTGTAACAGGCAGAAGGAAGCACCTCCCACCCGTAAAGTATATATATTCTTAATTAACATAACGATATAAATCAATCTAAATCTTTCCGCCCATCTGTCCGCCTGAATGAACGCCTGTATTTCGGAAACGGTTGGGGGCACATTTACCAAACTTGTATGTCCCTAGGCAACACGGGTTTGATTTCGCCCCTTCTTCGTGCTACGGATTCTGTAGGTACATTTGAAAAGCTACAAAAGCCAAACTTTGCACACATTATCTATTTTCAAATATCCACTTCTGTTTTAAATGTAATCTATCAAGCCAGTACTACGCCCACGAACTGCAGCATCAAGTTCGCTCTTCTTCTTTTAGCTTCTGCAATGGACGTATATAACTCAAGAAGTTTGTCTGGGTTCAGGGTATTTCACGGTTGGGCAGGCACATGGGGATAACATACATATACTGAGTTTTCTTAAACACGTTTCTTTATAAGGACGCGTTATTTGAAGCCATTATTAACTATATTGTTTGGTGCACTTTCAGATCCAAAAACACGAAACCTTATACAGCGGAAATACCAGTCGAGTATGGTAAGTATTCTGCTGTTTATTTAGCACAGCATTTCTTTTGCAATGTTTGGTTTTGAAAATCTACTTGTTAATTGAGTATGTAACTATTCTCCAGTTTCATTATTTATTGAATGTTCAGTTAAGTTCAATTGTTAGTAAAATACTCTTGCAACAAGTATACAATGTATATCTAAAATATATATTGTCACTTTAATTTGTAATTCGGATTAAAAATAATTTTTAGGCTTAGAAGTATTAAAATACGGCAATAAATACTTACATATGCATGTATGTATATATAAGTATACACATATACTGAGTACATTAATGATGTAAAGCAATTCATTACAGCATTGTTATGCGGAGAAAGAGCCGTGGAAATTGAACTATGTATTTTCAATCGCCCATTAAATCTTTGAAATCTCGAAAATCTAAGCTGCGTATTTTATACTATTATGTTGTTGCAAGGGTATATACATCGACGATTGTGGGCTTTTCGAAGAATCGCTGTCGCACCTATCCTTACTCATAAAATTATGCATTTGTTTAATAATGATACATATTATGTATATACTATACATACGGATATACACATTATACTCTGGATGCACCATTTAAATTGTATATGAAGTGAAGAATTGTTTGTTGATTTGCATTTTGTTTTTTTTTTTTTGCCGCCACTTTCGTTTTTGTGTCAACATTTTTAACAACAATTACTATTAATACAATGACTGTACATAAATAACTACATGCCTGCCAACTACAACAACAACAACACCACCACCACAAAAACAACAACATCAACATCCATTAAATACACTGATACATCATTATGAACACAAATATGTCCTAAAATATGAAAAATGTAATCTGAAACAAAATCGTAACCGATACCGATGCTTGCACTAAAATCGAATGCCAGGCGCCCGAAATCGTTTTGAGCTTTCATCGAGTGATCTCCATCCGTTTTGCCTACAAGTGCCAACTTAATGGAGATAGTGACCGCAACATCTCAGAGATGCTAATGGGCAGGACGACGCGGGCAATGGAAGGGACGACGGTGACAACAACAACAGTAACAGCAATGTCCGTTCAAGGCTAAGACAAAAGAACTGAAAAATTGCAATTGAATTTAAAAAATGTGCATTAAGTAACTTACTAATTATCCTCCTGTAAATAAAATCAAAAGTTGTGTTTGCTTTCGAGAGCCAACCACATCAACCACACCACCACACATTAAACCAAACCGCTCAAACGCGTTTTGTTTCCTTCTACTTATAACAAAACTTTAAAATAAAATGTAGCTACTTTTGTTTACTGTTTTAATTGCATGTTTTTTTGTTGTTGTTGAACTTTCATCTTTTCCCTGTGTTCGAGTGTACCTAGCCATTCCTTCTATCCTAACGTTCTGCTTATTTTTATGTATGTGCCTCCTTTTCTAAATTGAAAAACATGAAATATACAAATAAAATATACGCTACGCAGTCCGATCAAATATGCTACTCGGTACTCTGCGTCTTCTCGTATGTTGCTGCTGGACAAGACCAAAAGAAGAATCCGGTGGTCATCACGCCTCAAATCCAGGACATTCATGCTCAGCAGAAGCAGCAGCACGCTCAGCAAAAGCAACAGCTCGCAACTCAGGATCAGGCCCAGTCCCAATCGCATTCACCACAAACATCCAGCGCTGCACGTGCTCCATCAACAGCAGCAGCAGCAACAGCAATAGTAACAGTAACAACAGCTCCTAGCACGACCACAATCAGCGGAAAATATCAGCAAACTGTCACCATACGTCATACGCTTCCCATGCAAAAGCCCACTATCACCATGTCCACTGTGCAACCACTCGCCAAGCTCCCTGGCACAGCGTCAATAACGACTACAATGGAAACAGCATCTTCAAACGCTCGCGGTATCAGTGGGCAATTACCACAGCTCCCGCCACGCATTCCCTCACAGCCCTCAACCGAAAGCCTGGTTACCTCGCCCTCGCCCTCGCCTACGCCCACACCACCACCTTCAATCACGCCCAAGGCGCGCGTCCCTCCTCCTGGCCCGCCACCGGCTATACCACCCCGCACTGGAGCCATTGCGCGCAGTGGCTCGGTTCAGGTGCAGTCGTCGTTGGGTCGGGGTAGTGGTGCGGTTGCCACTCGCAGCTTCGTGCGTCAGGCGTCTGCAAATTCGACGCCACCGCAATACACGCCTCAGCCGCCGCCACCGTTCGTCATACCCAAGCGACACAACGCACTGGTGCGGGCCTCAACCGTAACGGCAGCACCGTCGCCGGGCAACGCCCACCACCATAACCCATCCCAGTCGCCGCAGCAGTCGCAGCCGCAGCATCAGCGCAGCAGTTACGGAAGCGTAACGTCGCCCGTTCACTCGAACACAACCTTGGTGCAGAAGCACCACAACCACTGACGAAGAAGTTCCTTTTTTAAGTTTAGTGGTGGGAACGATGGTGGCGGTGGTGGCGGTGGCCGCTCAGGAGATGAACCGAATCCCCGTGAAGTTTGTCGCACCATTTGCATGCCATGGCTGTGAGAGCAGACAGAGAAGCTTGGTTTACCTTGAGCCCAATACAATAGATATGTATGTATGCATATGTACATACATATACCTATCAACACACAAATGTTAGTAAGCTTATGCAAAATAACTGTATTATACTATGCTAACCAAATCATATCATGTCATTGACAAATTGTAAAATTGTTTCCTGCTTAGCTTTAAAATGACGGCCGTACATTGTGGCGCCTCATTTATTTACTAACTACCATGGTTCGCAATCTGCTCAATTTTATACTCTTCTCATGAGCAACTCTGACGTGAGCAAATTGAACAGCTCCAACTCGTAAGGAAGTTGTGAACAATTGCAGCATTTTGGTTAAAAGGACAAATTGCTCCGTAATCGGGGCTGCTCATGAGCCGGAGCATAAGAAATGAACATTCATTGCAAGTTCGAATTGTTAACTACACTGACTATACTTTAATCAACCAAGTGATGTTGAGCTTGAGCCGCTTGTGTGAAATTCCTTGGCCCATTTCCCAGGAAAGGCAGGCACAGCTAACAACAAATATGAATAGAGGAAAATGGAAATCTAGGTGGGGAATGCAACAAACGCAGGAAATAAAACAAAGTATGTAACCTGAAATATCGCCTACTAATTATAATATATCTAATACGAATAATAATATTGTAAAGTTTGTTTAGTTTACATAACCTACCAATTAATGAATGTTTAACCCAAGCAACTTGTAACCTGGGATGAGATTCGTGAGCAGTAGTTATGTGATTTTTCAAGAGGTAAGACCACATCTTTGGAGGAAGAGCCGGCAAAAGGTTACCATAACACTTTCATTCCTAAACAGTGATCATTGATCATACAATTTCATTGACTGTTAATCTTACCAAAAATAGTAGATATTTTGATGAAAATGTGAATGGAAAGTAAAAATGGTTGCTTCTCACCATTCCACGTATTGCTTAGTGTATACTCTTTTCGAAATCCTTCTAGTGAAACATTCGTGACTTGCTGTGTCATCATATACCCAGATGATCATTATATTGGTAAATGTTTCCATATTCGAAAAACCATTCTACTGTTCAGTTTCGAAAGAGTATAAAGGAGCACAAAGTCCAAGGATAGCCAAAATTAAGCACAGTTACCGATATTGGTTTTGCATAATCTGATCGAATTTGGAAAGATTGAAATGGCTGAATATGAATATTAAAAGTAGAAATCTAGTTTCTGAGCGACTCGTCCGAGTTATGCAGGCAAGTAAATATAGTAATACATACATGGATAGTCAATAATTTAAAACTCATTGAAAACAACAATAAACTCAAATAAGCAATTTGTAGAATAGATAATTAAAAGAGTGTTAAGTGAAGAGTTTTCTGTGATGGCATGCTAAGGTAATGGTTGCTCGGAAATTACACGGCTCTGTTCCATGATCGATTGTGTTGGCAGTGGTCGGTAAATAGCGACCAAGTGCCCCGTTGGCAGACTGCTGCTCATGAATCTTGCCGGTCATACTATCTTTGTTGCCGTTGTTGGTATATCTAGGTTTGTTTTACCTATAGCGCTTAAGGAATTGGCAGGGAACACCAACGCAGTTGACAGTTGGGCAGCAATATATAGTATATGAATGTATTTATATATGTAATCCAGCTATTACATGTTGGCATGTAGGTATGCGCGTGTATGTACAAATATGTATGTACCATATGTAAATTGTATTTTTATACCCTTCTCTGGCAACGGACGACCCCAAATCGCTATACCTGTCCGTCTATCTGTCCGCCTGTTTATGTCAATTATTACTCCTCCCACAGCTTTAGAGACATCGCGTTGAATCTTCGCATCGAGGCGCCATTTCGATGGAGACAAATAATAAACCAGATCACAATATCATAGCCGCCAATTATTTCTATATTAAAGTATTACGTATTGAATGATGTAGTTGATTTAAAAACCTATCAGATCTATGTCTTGCTGCACTAACGACTTTGAATAACAAAACGAAAAAACTACCAAGTGTATCAATCATGTACGAGTATGTTTGCAGCATACTACAATAGCATGCAGGAATAAAGTTCTTGTTCTGAGGTCAGCGAAGGGTATATAGCTTCGGCGCAGACGAAGGTAACTTCTTAGCTCGTTATTGTTAAAGCTCTGTGCCCAGGGCGATTAATCGATGGGTCGCAAATTTATATATGTACATTGTGATCCATGATTCGAGACCATTATTATATCCGAGGCACCAACCAATTAATAAATAAACAAACTATTTGCGATCTACATGTACTCGTATGCCCATACCCATATTACCTATTTTAATAAATTGTATTTTCCATAGTTCCAGAACCTAACACAATAAATGACACGATATGTTATGTGAATATAGTTATTTAAACCATAAAAAACATCTGAGTCCCACTTATTCATTCATTGGGAACACGTAGCTTTGGTCGACCCGAAATAATACAGCACCGATAAGAATTAATAAGCTCGGTAAGTGATAATACAAAGTGAAGGTTATTCGTTCAACTGGATTTTTGACGTGCGTGCATGAAGCTATTACAAAACAAGTGGAGAAGCTAATGTCGGGTGTCCCGACTTTGAAATACTCTATACATATGTGTAGAAAAATTATAAAAACTTTCAAAAGGTAAAAAAAAAATGCAAAAACTGTAAAGAAATTATAATATTACAAAAAAATTGGTTTTTCGATCATACTATACATACCTCCTTGGGTATCCGAACTCACGTGTGCCTGTGTGTGCCTGCGTGTGTCTGTGCAAAGCAGCAACAACAACTGCCGCGGGCAGAGCTTGGGCAGAGATTACATGCATGATTTTAACGTCCTCATCGGACAAACTGGCTAATAAATTTTTTGTACATTTCATGTACAGAGTATAATTATAAACCATCCATTAAAGAAGTACCAATTAGGCTAAGTCGTAGATAAAGGCAACGCTAGACGTTCCTGAATTTTGTTTGTGTAGTATAGTGTAGTATACCGGTAGTCGACTATCTGTAAGATTTGAGACAAGAAATGCGAGAGTCGGATTGGGCCCGCCCCACTCCCTAAATACCCTCTAACCAAGTCCCCAAACCTTTTTTATACCCTGTACTGATAGGGTAAAAAGGATATATTGGTTTTGTGCAAAGTATGTAACAGTATAGCAGTAACAGTATCCATAAAGTATATATATTCTTAATTAGCATTACTGGGCGATCGATAGCCATGTCCGTCTGCCTCGATGAACACAGCAGTAGGGGGTTCGCTCTTCTTCTTTTTGCTTTTGCTATGGGTGGACACAACTCAGCGCCGGGTATATACAAGGTGGGTCACTGTCGGGCTTGCTACCACATTCTTGTACCACAAGTTACAGCCCATAGATACTCGTAAGTATATACAAGTACATACATATATGACTGACAATTTATTTACAAATATAAGAAAGACAACAAAGCTGATCGGTGATTTGGGAGTGAAGCTGGGAGACTTGGCTTCAATTTAGTCACGGGAATACATGCGCACCTGAATTCCATTTCCACTTTTCATAACAAGTTCCGCAAGCGGTTTCGGCTCGTATCCCTCGACGGTCACAAACTCAAATTTTCGAACTAAGGCTGACAATGAACACTTGAGCTCGAGCAAGGCAAACTTTTGACCTACGCGGAGTTGTTAAAATCAACATATTATGCCATTATTTCAAAAATTGGTGTATGTCATAACACTTACCTATGCAGTTTCTAGGGCCTGCACTGAAGGCCGCATAGGCAAATGGATGCAGCTTTTGCTCATTGAGATGGAAACGATCGGGGTCGAAGCGTTCGGGATCGGGGAAATACAGCTCGTCGCGATGCACCATATAGATAAGATTGCTTACGGATGCACCTTTAGGAATAGTCAATTTACCGATCTGCAGATCTTCGGTCACTTTACGTGAAAAGAACGGCACGGGGGGATAGAGACGCAACGTCTCCTTAATGACAGCCTCCAGATAAGGCATAGATTCTTTTTCACGGCCTTCCAGCTGCATCGCCTCCTCGTACACACGTTGCTGTACATCTTTATGCTTGGAAAGCAGACTTATCGCAAAGGCAATGGCCGAACTGGTGGTGTCGTGGCCCTCGAACATGAACGTGTCCACCTCTTCGCGTATTTCGATATCGGTTAGCTCCGCGCCCTCCAGTTGCGAAATGAGCAACATGTCGAGAAAGGCGAGGCGTCGCTTGCCATCCACATCGCTTAGGCTATTTATTTTTGATTTTTGCAGCAACTCGCGACGCATCCTAATCACCCGATTAGTCTCATCATGCAGGACATGTAATGCCGCATTTCGCTGACGCCCAGCTTCTGAGAACTTAAATAGCAAGTTGAAACGCTGCCAAAATGAGAAGCTCTGCTTGTGCAGTATGCGGCAGATACTATTTGGGGTTTAAAAAGCGAATGAGCATTGGGAAAGAGGTAATTGGGGGTCTGCTACATACGTTTGCACCGCCTTTACATACTCCGACTCGCTCTGCATCTGGGCGTTCTTTTTGATACCCATGGCTGTTTCACAAATAGCGTCCAGTGCAAAGAGTGATATATAGGGATATATATCAAAAGGTTTGCCGTCCGCATGCCGGCTCAATCGGCTCACCAGTACCTTGCAGTTCTCTTCCATTGGTTCCTTGAACTCGCTCAGTATGCGAAAATGGAAACCAGGCGTAAGCAGTTTCCGTCTTCGATGCCAAGCCTCACCGCCATTTGTAAGCAAGCCCTTGCCTAACCAGGCTTCTAAGAGCTCGTAGTTACGTGATTTGTACAACAGTGTATTGTTGCTCAGTAGCTGTTTAATGTCTTCCGGATCAGTGAAGAACACCATCAAGTCCTTGCCAAACCAAATTCGAAAGACGGGACCATGTTGCTGGCGCAGCTGCTTCAACCATTCTAGTATTTCTGTATACAGGAATATTTAAAATTACAAACTTCAAAGTACCATTATCATGGGCATCACACTTACGACCCTTCTTCACGTTCGCAATAAGTTCACCCACGCTAGGACCAGGCAGCGTCCTTGCAAAGCGTTGCAGACGCAAAAACTGCAAAATTCGTGGCAGTAGGCTCAGAAAAAGCGCCCACAACGCAAAAGCGAACACGGCCAGGGCGTTCATGTTAGTTGGATAACCGCAGAATATAAAATAATCAGGCAATAATGTTCTACATATACACGTACATATGTAAAGCAGTAAACTAAGTGTACTTTATAACAATATGAGGTGATGTTTTATGATATTCTCAAGTTGGCAAAGAATGAGAGCGACGCCAAGACCCGCGCGATGCTTAAGTTCGTAACTGCGCAAACAAACTGTTTACACCGACAAAGCAAAAACGTAAACAACCGTCACAATTCTAGTCTTACTGACCTCCCAATCAAAATAGAGCTGAGAGCGATACTAGTTGCGGCAACTCACCTTGGACTAATAGATACCCTGCGTTCTATTTGGAAATACTATACTTACGAATCGGTACGTTATATGTTTCTGAGGCAATTATGTATAATTTATACTCTTTATTCATAAGAGCAAGAGTATATTGAGAACGAATAATGCGTTTTTAAATGGTTTTTTATTATACAAGATATAAAATAAACAATAATATTGTAATTTACGTGATAAGTTAATGATCTTCTTTTTTAACCTTCTTTGTACAAATTAGGAATACTTTTACTTGTCATTTTCAGCAAATTGTAATTCGCTGTCTGTATTGCATATCCGAGTACATACATACATATGTGCATACTCGTACACGTATGTACATATGCAAGGTAAATACGAGTATAGCACATCTGTGCATGTACACATGTAACGGAGTACATAAACGATCTCTGTTGCAACGCGACTTGCTTGATTCTATACATGTGCTCCACGTCGAAATCGGCGCTCTTTGAACTCTTTGATTTACTCAACTAAGCGTTTGATAAGCTCTTCACTATGAACGGCAGTCCATGTAGTGACGAAAGCCCCGACATAGTGGAAGCACAACACTGATATTACAGCTTATTGTTGCGCTTTCAATGGAGTGCACAAATCGAAGTTGCTTTCGAGTCGATCAAAAGGTATTGAAACACACATTCAGAATTTGGATTTAAATCAAGTTGAGCATAACGGGACTAATCGTGATTTGAATCCTGTAAACCATTTGAGGTCGGCGCTGCTAATTTGTATACCCCTGTACTAGAGATGGGCACGGGCCGGCTATTTTCGGCCCGACACGACACGGCCACGAAATTAACTTTTGGAAACACGTACGCGCACGCACGACGAAAATTTTTCTTAACACGGCCCAACACGAACTTTTTATATATTAAATATAAACATTTAAAAAATATATATATTTATATATATATGTATATAAACATTACAAATTTTTATTCAGAAAGATTATCTTATCAATATTTGAGCTAAGAAGCCGAGTACGTCGCTCATTTAAAATATGTCCAGAAGTGGAAAAAACTCGTTCGCTTGTTGCAGAGCTGACAGGGATATTGAGTATATGCCTTGATAATTGCCGTAGCATTTTACATTTTGTTGTTTTTTTTCAGAATGTTAGCACACAAATTCCTGGATCAACTACACTACTTATATAGTCATCTATTTCAATATCCATTCTTGACCTGTCCAATTTAATTTTTTTTTTTTAATTATTAGTGTCTAAAAATTCAGAAAAGTCGTGTTGACTATTGGGTGCTTCGTTTTCTGATTTTAGTGTTCTTTCGTGTTTCCTCGTGCGTGTTTTGTCGTGCCTTTTTGGCTCAACACGAACACGCACGGCCACGCACGAAATCGGAATTTACAACACGAACACGCGGGCCCACGCGTGGCACGAAGTGCCACGACAAAAAACACGGCCCGTGCCCAACTCTACCCTGTACCCAAAAAGGGTACACTGATAAAAAAGTTGCGTAGTAGAGATGAATATTTTCATATTCAATTTAATATTCGTAAATTTTACCAAAAACATATTCAATTAGTGAATTAGTGAATATGAATAATATTTAAAACAAAGAGTAAAACTTCGTTATTAAAGTGTATCATATTCAATTTAATGAGGAAGCATTTTAAATATTAATATGCACACACTTTAAAAAACAAATACTTAAATTTACTATATTCCATAGTAAATTATAATATTTTTTCCTCAACTTTAATTTGAAGTTTTTTGTAGTCGATTTAAATATACTAGAAATATATTCGATTTCAATTGACTAGAATTCTGAAGTCGGTTTTAAGCGGTGGTGTGATATAAATACAAAGTGTAACCGCTTGACATACAGATATGGTCGTTAGATGTGTGTCAAGTAAGTGTTATTCAATCAGCTGCCCTCCTCACTTTTAATATTAATATTGATCCAAACTATATCCATACTAAAAGGCATAAAAAAACATCAAAAAAAAAATTCATAATGACAAAAGAATTTTAAAATTACTTTCTGCTAAAAATGGGTCTATCAAAAAAAAAAAAAAAATATATATATATATATAGAAATAAAATATGCATCATGGAAATTCAATTTGGAAAAAGAGTTGAAAAAGAAACAGTAGAGTAGACAAAAAAGTATGAAAAACATTTTATAATTATAAAAAATAAACCTTTGCTGTGAATGAAACCCACGTCTCCATATCATCACTTGTGATTTAATATCGTCACACTTTAAATTTAATATTTTAATATTAAATTTTGAAATTTAAGTATATACACTTCATATTTACTAAAACACACGATGGTACAAACCGATGGTAAAAATAGTTAAATCTACGTGTAAATATTGAAATTTCCGTGTTTTTATACTTGTACTCTGTACATGAAATGTAACAGGCAGAAGGAGGCGTGGCAGACCCCACAAAGTATATATATTCTTGATCAGCATGACGAGACGAGTCGATCTAGCCCTGTCTGTCTGTCCGTCTGTCCGTCCGTATGAACACCTGGATCTCAGAGACTATAAGAGATAGAGACACAAAATTTTGCACAAAGATGCGTTATGTGTGTATTCTATACGAGTTTGTTTTATTTTTTTGATTTCCCCCCCCCACTTCCCCCCTATGGGGGTTTTCCCAATTTTCCATTCGTATAATCGCCTATATCTCGGAGACTATAAGACCTAGGCACACCAAACCGATTTAACAAGAAGTTATAGCCATAAATATATTTGCTGCTGCAGCGCTGCTCAAGCGCTGCCCGCGGCTGTTGTTGATGCTGGTGCTTTGGTTGACTGCGAACATGCTTACACAGACACGAATATACGAGCATAAACATAAATACACTCACATAGGCGCAATTGCTTTGTATATGTGCAACTAGCAGGTATTGTCCGTCTTAACCCGGCTCAATATAATGTTTCAAATTGTATTTATTTTGTGTGTGCATAACCTACCCATATGTTTTCACCTTATAAGTTACCAGTAGGAAGGCATTTAAGGTATTTAAATGAACATTTTCTGTTCTTGAAAAAATTGTTCAGTAGTTACATTTTACATGACCACTATAACTAATATTTTTTAAAGCTCGTTTTCCCCCCTTTGGAGATAGAATTTTCCAAAAGCCTTTCTTAGTGTGCTCCTACACTATGATGGATACTATGAAAGGATACGTGAGTCCAAATTTCATCTTTTACCGTTTGGGCTGTGCGTTGATCACCAATTAGTCAGGACAAACTGTTTTATATATAGAGATAACGCAACGTTTTAAGATAGACTATGTGCAAAAAAGGGGAATAATTATAAGGGTATATTTTAATTTTAAATTCACGCACAAACTCGGAATATGAAACACGGCACTCGTGTCAATGCCGTGCAGCGATGAGCCACGATCAAAAAGCACTGACAATTCTCATCTCAATTTGCTAGAGTAAAACTTTCGATAGTTGAAGCCACCGATACCATCAAAATATCGAAGTTTGAATGCAATAAGCAGAATATTTAAATAATAAAATCTATTTATTTATTGAGATCAATAAGAACAAATCATATACATACATACATACATCTGCCCGCAATGCGAAGCAGAATATGCGTAGCTCCGTTATTCGGTTTCTACTTTACTATCGCATACGCAGTCGTTGCCTAGCGACGGTAACTGTAAACTTTTGGCGTTTGCCTTTGCAATTAACATTAAATGGTCAAAACGAAAGAAGAAGAGCGAGCCAATGATTTGCAGTTGTTGTTGTTTTTAGAGCATTATTTTTATACCCTGTACCCAAAGGGTACAAGGGTATATTAGTTTTGTGCGAGTGCACATGGAACACACAGAAGGAGGCTTGGTATATATATTCTTGATCAGCATGACAAGCCGAGTCGATATAGCCATGTCCGTCTGTCTGTCCGTCTGTCTGTCTGTCTGTATGAACGCAAGGATCTCCGAAAGTATAAGAGCTAGAATAACCAAACTTGGTATACAGATTCTCCCGAGACCGAGAAAGGACGAGTTTGTTCATTTTTTCTGATCCACCCCCCCCACTCCCCCCCCCCCCCCCCCCCCCCTATTAACGATTTTCTATAACTCCCGTAATTCTTGGAATTTTGAACTAAAATTTGGTAGTCACATTAGGTTAGTTATTATATAACCGTATACCAAGTCTCATTATGATAGAACGATCGGAAAGAAAGTTATAGCCATATAACCAGGCCCAATGCACACATACATACATATGTACAAGTACACAAACACGCATAAGGCACGATTCTGATGTAAATGTAAATGTATGTATGCATGCATGGAATATTTTATATTTAATTTAGTTAATTTATTAAATTAATTTAGTTAATTATTTAAATTAAATTAATTAATTAATTTAATTACTTTTTTGTGGGGTGGTACAGGGTATTTAAGAGTTGAGCCTGCTCGACTTTAGCATTCCTTTCTTGTTTTACAATCAAACAACTGTGTTCGATTGCCCAATGTATACATAAATACATGCTATTTTCATACACAGGCATACGTACCTACATATATATGTATGGTTCTCTTTACTTTTTCAACCGTACATAGAGAACTGCAACGGCTTCTCTGCCCGCCCTGCGTACGCCCTTGGTTGTTGCATAAAGTTATTAATGAAAACCCTAATGCCAAATGCACTAAACAAAGAAAAAATTACTTTTAAAAATGTTATATAATTTGCAATTAATTAACATTTCTTGCTCTGTCAGTGCAAGACGAATGTACATACATACATATGTAGATACATACATATGTACATACATAGATGTGCACATATGTATGGATATTCACACATTAGTGTCTCACATTTTGCTTTGGCTATTTCAATCGTTTGCACGCAACTACACGAACAGCTGCTGG